TACCAAGTAGTTTTAATAATAAATCAGACTTCATAAATTTCAATTAAGTGGAACATAACAAGTGTTAAGTTTCAAATAGGTTAGCCAGAAAAAAAATCAGTCAAATTCAGTAGTAGTAAGCAAAATATGAAACTTGTTTACAAATCTTTCAGAAGTGACAAGTTTAAATGCTATGCAGCTTAGCGACAAATTTATTGTCATATAAAATCTTTGACTAGGCATTTTCCCTAACATTTAAGAGACTCAGGCTTAATGATGATCTTCTTCATTGTACCACTTTAGCTAAGGAAATCATTGAGAAGTAGAATTCAACAAATAATTCGTTTTAATTTGAATCGTTTGATCCATATCCATTGTAATTCTTTTGGTGGATTAAAAAATGGATTTCAAATTGGAACATATGGATTCTATTGTTGAGTTGATAGTGTGTATCAGATTTTTGCATTTAGAAACCTCAAAACGTCTTTTCATCAAGCTAATCAAGATATTCTAAAGCAAGCATTAATATAAGATGAGAGGGCAAAGTTTTTGGTTAGGTTGGACTTTCTGCAGTGCAGAATTCTGTAGTTAGACCGTTAATGTGAAATAATCTGTGCAGATAATCCAATTAGTACACAATCAGGAAGAAAGTTTATGTCGAGAAAACGGGAAATCCGAGCAATTTCAAGAGATGTAGTCACAAAGAAAGACAATGAAATTTGCACCAATAAACCATACATCTAAAGGGAAATCATTTCATCAGAAATGTCTTTATTCGAACAACTTATGGTAAACGAGGGCTGTTGTCATAATCGCCAAATCATTTACATCCTTAATATATTTCTGGTGATCCTATTGCTGATAATATGCTTCTTGAATTTAATTCCGAGTATCATACGATAATCCTAGATTCACGAGTATCTCTAAAGCCAGGTGCAAATGCACCAACGACAACTGAACTCTCTATGACGAAAGGTATATTCAGGGATCGTATTTTGCTGTCACACGAAACAAGCCAAGAACACAAGTAAGCCAGCAATTGAATGAGTGGAATTGAATGTTACCAATTGTTCCCAATACATTCAAAAAATAAAAATGTACAGTTAATAAAACTTTGAAGATACGTTTACCAAGCCTCTCCAATAATGAGTGATGGTAAGGTCCATTTACGTTCATTTTCGAGTCGATTCTGGGGATCGCCTTATGCTTAAGGTTGGTGCTTGGTAGAAGCAAATGACTGTTTGAGAACAGTTGGAGCGGATGATTGTCGTTATCCGCTCGCTGATATGGGACACCTTAAGAATCATCTAAACCTCTTTCGATTTGGTTTAATTTCTTGTTTGGGTATGTGAACCACCTGCTACGATTACCAAGTCTTAGCGTTTAGCTTCTCGAAGAAATTCAGAAAGCCTTCTGTAAACCTCACCTCGTTCCTCATCCGGACTGCCATCGGTGGAAGCATAAGTAGAGACGACGAAAAAACATTATGCATCCTCCTTCTGAGTCCTTACTGTTATGTTCTTATGCCCTGTTAATTATCACTTGATAAGATCGCCAATGGAACACCGACTTATATGACCTTGGAACTGTGCCAAACCAATGACGCGTTAACTAGTACGAGCAGCCTAGAGTCCTTATTAATTCCTCTGGCCTGCCCGTTTGAGTTCAGAACACAATCTCAGCCCCCACTGTACGAATCATGTATTTCAGATATACACAATTTATATACAAGCAAGTCAGACCGCATCATACCATATAATAGAAAATAACAATTATACAAAGTCAAGCCAAAAGTAGCTGTGAGTATGAGGGAAGTAATTGGGAATAACTTATGAATAGTAAATCGTACAATAGTAGTCAATAGATCAAATGGAAGCTTATAATAAAAGGAATATGAATGTACATATAATATACTTACTTAATAGTTACCCGATAGGAATATATGTAATATTAGTCCATAAATAATTCCTACCAGTTACCATTCATTTATTCATCATTCAGACATAACCCTTAATTTTTTCCTTTAGTGGAAGAGAACACAAGCCACTGTATACCACAATACAGATTAGAAGAGTCTGTTCTGCTCTTTAACCTATTGCTACACCAACGCTACTGAGGCCATGAGAAGTAGTAGCAAGTCACCGGACACAACGTATGTTATTGGTACGAGATTGAAGATTCCTAATAAATAAAGCCAGTTGTCATAATGGAATGCAAACAGAGAATCTTCAGAGATAAACATATTATCATCCAATACATCACACTGAGTTCTTGTATAGGATCTCAGAGACACAGTACTTAGTAACAGCTTAGTCTTTCTGTGCAGCAACGAAACTCACTTTCGTTCAATCTGTTTCAGTGAGAGGGAACAGTACATAAAATTTCAGAACAGCTGGTCACTGTTCTGCATCGAAGGACATCCTTATGCAAGTACCAACCTATTAGGAACCAGCCGCGCAACTTACCAGTGCCAATGATAAAAAAAAATCTAAACCACTAACCAAAGATAGGTGGCAGAATTATAACAGCACAATCATATTTTCTGCACTTCCAAGTTAATTAGCCTTTTTATCGTTCAGTTAGTCGGCGTCCAATTCAGACAAATAAATATAAATACCTCATATCAATAGCCTAGTTTGAATGTCATATACAATGAACCCTTAAAAAAAGAAACAGAGTCAACCTAATTAAACGAAATACGTAAATTTTGTATGCATCTTTTTCAAGTTTCATACATACCCAGACATACATAATCAAGATTGACATTCCCAATTAACGTATGATCAATGTCAAATCTAAATAACTAGTATCATTAGTAAGACCAGCTGATCAGAGAAGCTACATAACTTTATAGCTATCAACTAATATGACAGCAATTTAAATCACATTTTCCTTATTTTATATTACTCAGTTGGTTTAAAAATGATTTCAAGTCTAAAACTTATTGGTAATTCATATACAAATATCGTGGCTCAAAGCCAGGTACATTAACTTATGTTTGTAAGGTGAGCTACTTTATCGAATGAGTTGATGTAGTGAATAACACAGTTATGTAAATATTCGTATTAAAATAAACTATCCCAAACCAGTTGGCCTCAAGTGACCCCAGCTGAACAATGGATGGATGATGCTTATGAATGAAATATAGGTTCCTTATTAGTTGAAAAGTATGAAAGTACATTCCAAAAGTCAACAGGCAAATCTTCACTTGAGAATTCCCCGATAAAACTATTTTATCATTTATAAAGAAATATCCAGTCTAAAAGCAATGCAATATATATATATATATATATATATATATATATATATATATATATATATATATAATTCTTTTAATTTATTTATCTGATAATCTCCGAAATCCATATGAGATCAATATACATCACTAGTGTATTAATTTCGCTACAGAATAACTACGTCTTCTCATCAGTTATTGTAAAACTATTAACCATCGGTATTATTGGCTGATGCCTGAACTACATCAAAAATCGACTGAAGTTTCAAATAGTGAGCAATGAATTCCAATTCAATGATTCATGATGGTTTGTACCGCAGTTTTGGTAGCTACATAATCATTATCAAAATATTGTAGTTGATTTGGTCTTGCGTTGGTGTTTAGTCCTGAAGACAGTAAAGATTTCCGATAATTTACGCGAACTTTTTGCTTAAAATTAAGTATACACTTCCATCAGATTAAATGGCACTGTCTCGTTTAACAACCAAATGATTATTATGAATTTGCGATTGGCTCAACCAAAAACACGTCTACTTCGGAGTAAGAATAATAAACATAGTTAATAATTACTATTTATCCATTTGTGAAATTTGATTTTGGTCTTAGACTAGAACCATTTTCCCATAATGGTAACCACGAATTACTTAGCAAACGACGATACGAAGTGGTTTATCGGTGATTTACTTGTCTATTATAATTCATAAATCAAAATAGTTAAACCAGTTAAACACTGAGAACCTATTTAACATCTGTGGATCCTTTTCTAGGTGATCAGAATGTTTCCATTGCTGGAAAATAAACACATTCAACGCCAAGTGCTGTTGTAAAGTAAATCATAGACAGGGACACTAAATATGAAGCGAACAGACTGGGTGTTGATCAAATCTAGTTTATTTCAGCAACCTGGTTAGTTGTTGAATTATGCGTAGAACCTGTACGAGGTCGGTCAGTCGAACTCATTTCGTTTATTACATAGGAATGAACGAAAACAACAAAAGTTTAATATCGAACCTAACGTACAAGTAGAATATGAACGTATATTTATAACAGCAGATTTTGTCATGCGAAATCTGACATTAAACCGACAACTTAAGCAAAGTCAGACACCCTTACTGTTAAAATAATGCTATTTTCCCACTTAGCTTAGGTCGCAAATTTCAATGAATATTACACGCGATGCTGCCTCTCGAAAGAGCCTGACATACTCTAGAAGTAATGTCAGTTAGTAAAAACTTTAAACAAGAATTTAAGCTTTTCAGAAAAAATTACTAAAAATCAGTTTAATATCAAGGGCTTGCTACTTCTGTATCAACAATATTAGGTTATATATAACCCTATATTCAACAAAATTTTTAACAAAAAACCAATAAAGTAGAAATAACGATATGGCTATTTATCAAACTCCCTACGATAAAATCACAAATTCGGTCATGATTATAATTACTGCACTAAATAAAGTAGTTTTTTGGCCTAAACTGGTGTAACCGATCACTAGCTGATACAACTCACATCTCAGAATGTATCATTTTTGACTGAATTATCTTAAAAGTAATTATGGTGTTAACGGCTGAGTTGTCTTGTTAGTGATGTTAATAACTAGACAAGTAATCAATTGCGATTCACTTTAAACTACTGAAATTTATAATCAACCCAACATTGGTGTGGTCTATCTTGATAAAACTTCGTATAAAAAATGCGAGTCCATAAATATGTTAATCTGTTTATTACTATCAATGTACTCCTATTTTATTACGTTGGGTCACCGCTAATATTTAAAACAGATAAATTGTTGAAGGCTGATTTGTATTTGTTTTAATTATAGCTTTACACAAACTCTGACTTGACAATATTATGAGAAGTCCTCACCTAAGACATTTATATGCAAAACAGACTATGGATACTTCAGGGTAGAAAAGGAACAGGTGACGATTTACACCTTTGGTTATGTATCCTCCTTAAAAACTATCATTCAAAATAGAGCGTTCAACGAAACAACAGATATATAAATGCATAAATGCTTTCATACGTTTTGGAAAATGAAGAGATAAAGTGTCGTTGTCAAGTAACAAAAATATTACGTAACACTAAAATACAATATCAAGTATAGTGTACAAAAAAAGAATACCTTACAGATAACTTTCTTAATAAAGTAAGGAATATGTAAAAAGAATTATACTTGTACATTTACAAAAATGGGATATTACATTATGAAATATATATAGTGTGCATATGCTAGGGAGTGTATATTGAACTGCTTGCTTGCTTAGTTAACCGGGTTATACAAGTGCTGATGCTTTTACTAAACTATTATTCACCAACTTCGTTTTTCAGAGGAACGGGAGATGTATTCAATACATACGGCTCTGGTATACAGTTATCTACAACAGATGTATTATTACTAAGTGGTTCACTGATCAAATCATTAGCTATTGTTTTGCCCGATAAAATAGCTTCACAGTCTGGTCGATGTTCACGGACAAGTGAGTTTAGACGAGATCGAAGCCGACGTGCTGCTTGCAGACAACCCTTAGTGGAGCCACGAATCTAAAATAAACAAACGCATATTCAACTGAATCGATGAAAAAAATAAAATTGAACCTACTTTGAATGAAGCGATCTAAATGAAAATGGTGACTGACCACATAAATGAATATAATTTACTCACGTTAGCTAATATTCTTCAACTATGTGACATTTGAACTCCGCCTGGAGTCCCTCCGGGGGCTACTGCCGGTCCCAAGCCCGGATAAAGGAGGGGGTTGGGCATGAGGTTATCGACCCCATCCTGTAGAAAACTAACTCGCTAAAAAAACGCTAACCAGAAAAAATTATTCAAACCATAAAACTCTGCCCTGGGAGTCAGAACGTCTTCGTTTAGAAGAATTATGACGCCTCATGATGAAAGCCGAGTTCCTTCGGAAGTCACGGGTTCGATGCCACTTCTGACAACCAGAGCAACCATTTATTTAGGTACATGGAATGCTCGTACAATGTGGGGGACTTGAAGAGTTTTCCAAATTGCTGCAGAAATGAGGAGATACAACCTAGAAGTGCTTGGGATCAGTGAAACACATTGGACTCAAGTTGGACAACAACGACTAGCTTCAGGGGAGCTGTTGTTATACTCCGGACATGAAGAAGAAAATGCCCCACATACACAAGGAGTTGCATTGATGCTGTCCAAACAAGCACAAAATGCACTTATAGGATGGGAATCTCATGGACCAAGGATCATAAGAGCCTCCTTCAAAACAAAGAGGGCATTACAATAAACGTCATCCAATACTACGCGCCTACCAACGACTACAATGAAGATGCTAAATATCAATTCTACGATAGGCTGCAGTCAAACGTCGAGAAGTGCTCAACATTCTGATGGGAGATTTAAATGCCAAAGTTGGAATGGACAACACCGGATATGAAGAGATCATGGGACGACACGGACTGGGAGAAAGGAACGAAAATGGTGAGAGATTTGCAAACCTATGTGCTTTCAATAAACTAGTCATAGGCGGCACTATATTTCCACATAAACGCATCCACAAAATCACATGGACTTCACCGAATCACACTACGCAAAACCAAATCGACCATATCTGCAACAACAAAACGTTCAGGAGGAAGATGGAGGATGTAAGAACCAAGAGAGAAGCTGATATGGCATCAGATCATCACTTGCTGGTCGTCAAGATAAAATTGAAACTCAAGAAGTACCGGACAATGGGGCGGACAACAACACAAATGTTTAATACGGCTCTGATTCGAGATACTGACAAACTCAACAAATTCAAGATAGCCCTCAGCAATAAGATCCAAGCCTTTCATGATCTACTCAATGGGAAATGAACTACTATGGAAAGCGACTGGAAAGAGATAAAAGAGGCAATCACTTCAACATGTCATCAGGTTCTGGGACAAAAGAAGCACCATCACAAGGATTGGATCACTGTTGATACACTGGATACGATTCAAGAAAGGAGGAACAAGAAGACAGCAATCAATACCAGCCGAACAAGAGCAGAAAAAGTCAAGGCACAAGCTGAATACACAGACGTAGACGAGCAAGTGAAGAGGAGCATCAGAACCGACAGACGTAAATATGTGGAAGATTTAGCAATGACGGCGGAAAAGGCTGCCAGAGAAGGAAACATGAGACAACTGTATGAAACAACAAAGAAACTCTCTGGAAATCACCGTAAACCAGAACGACCAGTGAAAAGCAAGGAAGGCAAGATAATCACCAACATTGAAGAACAACGAAACAGGTGGGTAGAACACTTCAAAGAACTCTTGAATAGACCAGCCCCACTGAACCCACCCAACATCGAAACAGCACTCACGGACCTCCCAATCGATGTTGGCCCACCAACAATTGAAGAAATCAGCATGGCTACCAGACAAATCAAGAGTGGCAAAGCAGCAGGACCAGACAATATTCCAGCAGAGGCACTGAAAGCATACGTAGCGGTAACTGCAACGATACTCCACATTCTCTTCAGAAAGATTTGGGATGACGAACAAGTACCAAAAGACTGGAAAGAATGACTTCTAGTCAAAACACCAAAGAAAGGCGATCTCAGCAACTGTGACAACTACAGGGGAATCACTCTTCTTTCAATACCAGGAAACGTTTTCAACAGGGTATTGTTAAACAGGATGAAGGACTGCGTAGAATCCCAACTTCACGACCAACAGGCAGGATTCCGTAAGGATAGATCGTGCACAGACCAAATCGAAACTCTACGGATCATTGTGGAACAATCAATTGAATGGAATTCATCACTCTATATCAACTTCATTGACTACGAGAAAGCATTTGATAGCGTGGACAGAACAAACCTATGGAAGCTTCTTCGACACTACGGTGTGCCTGAGAAGATAGTCAATATCATACAGAATTCCTACGATGGATTAAACTGCAAAATCGTTCATGGAGGACAGTTGACAAACTCCCTCGAAGTAAAGACCAGTGTCAGGCAAGATTGCTTACTCTCACCCTTTCTCTTTCTCCTAGTGATCGACTGGATCATGAAGACGTCAACATCTGAAGGGAAGCACGGGATACAGTGGACATCTAGGATGCAATTGGATGATCTAGACTTCGCAGATGATCTGGCTCTTCTATCGCAAACACAACAACAAATGCAGGAGAAGACAACCAGTGTAGCAGCAGCCTCAGCAGCAATGGGTCTCAATATACACAAAGGGAAAAGCAAGATTCTCCGGTAAAACACAGCATGCAACAATCCAATCACAATTGACGGAGAAGATTTGGAAGATGTACAAACCTTTACATATTTGGGCAGTATCATCGATGAACACGGTGGATCTGATGCATATGTGAAGGCACGGATCGGCAAAACAAGAGCAGCATATTTACAACTGAAGAACATCTGGAACTCAAAACAATTGGCGACCAACACCAAGGTCAGAATTTTCAATACAAATGTCAGGACAGTTCTACTGTATGGGGCGGAAACCTGGAAAAACATGAACGCCATCATCCAGAAGATACAAGTGTTTATTAGTAGTTGTCTACACAAAATACTTCGGATCCGTTGGCCAGACACTATTAGCAACAACCTACTGTGGGAGAGAACAAATCAAATCCCAGTGGATGAAGAAATCAGGAAGAAACGCTGGAAGTGGATAGGACACACATTGAGGAAAGCACCCAACTGCGTCACAAGGCAAGCCCTCACATGGAATCCTGAAGGCCGAAGGAGGAGAGGAAGACTAAAGAACACATTACGCCGAGAAATGGAGACAGATATGAGAAAAATGAACAAGAATTGGATGGAACTAGAAAAGAAGGCCCAGGACATAGTGGGTTGGAGAATGCTGCTCGGCGGCCTATGCTCCTTCACGAGGGGTAACAAGCGTATCTAACTAACTAACTGTCACATTTGCTTCAAGGAAATGACTGAACAATGCCCAAGAATTTATCACAGTTGATACAAAACTCTTGGACTTACAAATTTTAATGCCATATATTATGCAAGCTTAACTGGGCCTCATTTATGAATGAAACCTCTAAGTTAGTCAGGCAGAGTTGAAGTATTGTCTCATATGAATGTGTATTGGTTTGATTTATGGCAAATCATGGAAGTAAACTGAGAGAGGAAAGTAATAGGATAAAAAATATGAGAGGTGAAGAAACATCCACTCTAATAGAAAGCTAAACATAAGGATTACAGATCAGAAAGAACTAACGAAAGTGAAGAGTGTAAATCATGGAATGAGACCTATCTCAAGATATAAGAAATGTGGAACAAATGCAAGTGTTCAAATTTACCTCTTTCTATTCAGAAGTAAAGTTTCCCTGTACTAATTTGCCTTTTTATAAATCATCGATTCGAGTTAGGAAATCGACGGGAAAGGGGATTGTCCATCTGAAAACTGTTATTTTAACAGCCTTAGCATTAGTTACCTTGTACACATATACCAATAATTCAATTCAGTAATAATACGTCATGTGATGACTTAAAATTACGAACAAGCATTTTAATAAGCTTGAAATTTCTTGGAGAGATTTACACAATTTTGAAAAACCTGCAACAATTTGTAATGCTATTGGAATTCTTCAAAAGCCCTTATATATTGAAAATAAGCATTAGTTCTGCCAAACTATTGCTGTTTTCTATTCTTATTTTATAATGGTACTTACATTAGTTTCTTTAGCAGCATCTGACCAAAACTTATCTACCTCCACGAGCCAATCACTGAGGCAAGTGAAGTGACATTGATTACTGTCTGAATAAGGATTGGAATATGTATCTGAACGACCATTTTGAGTGGAAGCTGCTTCTTCTAAGTATAACCGAAGTTCTGCAAGACGATGATAAAGATGACCTGCAGGACAATGAGGCATAGATTGACTGGTAGATAGAAGGGGAACCGAACATGCTGGACAAACCGATGCAGTAAAATGAACAGCTTCTTCGTGAACTAGCAAACCCATTAAAATTCGACACCCTGCCTATAAAGTGAAATGATAATTCCCAAAAATACTAATCTTACCAAATATTAATTAAGCAACATCAACAATCAAAGTGATTTTCAAATGAGAAATATGAAGAGTTAAGAAATAAAGTACTACGATTTAAAACAACACAAAATTGTCTTGGTTTACAAAAATTTGCAGTGGTATTCAACTGATTCTAATTGCCGACTCACTAGCTTTTTATCAATGAGTGATAGACTCTGTAAACATCTTGAGACGGATTTATCTAATGGCTTGTTTGGTAAGCTACTATTAAGTATGAAGCCAGGGCAGACAAGAAACTCATCCATCAAATGTAAGATAATAACTTCACACAGATCCATTAGCCTTCGAATGTAATGTTAGTAACTGGTGAACGAAACGGTTCAGGTTACATTTGTGAAACAAACTTGCCTATGAAACATGGTCCTTAAAAAAAGTTGATATTAGCAGTACCTAACCACAGATGACTTCGAAGCACTTGTCGTGTATGTTTGGACCACTGAGTGAGCAATACTGAAGTTAGACTCACGGTAAAAATAACAAATCGGTTAATGAGATTGTGAACTGTCATCGACTGAGATGGTTGGAACATATACTACGTATGCCCAACTACTTTTTACTATGACTTTCGATGTTTACTAGTACAGGAATAGGTTGGAAGGCAGCTAGGAATGACCATATCAAGATGTCATATTATTCCATGAAGTCATTGAAAGCTAGGCCGATCAAAATATGTGGTTGGGGTCTGTGAAGTTATCGTAACTGGTGGTTTGAAACGCTCGGTGATATGGCTTAAAATCGGTCATAGTGGCGCAGACGTACTCACTCTTTATTTTCTTCTTAGACCCTGAGTTTGAAATTACTCTGTGCATTTTATCTCACAAATTCATTCCTTCTTGAATCACATTGTATAAGATTAATCTTTTCTACCACCGATACTACCAATACTTATACTAATCTGGTGTTCATATTGATAATTTTATCTCGCTGTGCTGAAACGTTGTAGAAATTTGAACTGAAGCAGTTTCTACGTTATTTATGGTTAACTGACTGAGAAGCCTATATGTTATGCTCACTACTATAAATGACATCTCGTCACCGATGAAAATATTCATTATTGGTGACAACTGGCCTTTTGAGAAAAGTTAGGTTACGAAAGTGTTTTTCCTTTATGGCTTATTATGTGGAACTATTAAATTCTAATTAGAGCATATAATATGTGCAAGTTACATATCATAAATAAAATTTAAAAGGAATGAAAGAAAGTTAAGCATATTGTTAAAGTAACTGTGCTCTCGCGAAGTATTCGTTGATTATTAAAGAACGAATATCTTTTTCTTCGATTTAATGAAGAGTGAAAACAAAGTTCTTCCGCATAACTCTGACTTACTATTTATTTATTTGAACACATAAATATTGGTACAAGGGGGCACCGGATATACATACGCCACACTTACTAGGTAATCACTGCGAGAAAACCTTCCATTTACGGACTGCTCAACATGGATAGCTGAATCAACCTCATCGTCGGCACATAGACCACAAACCCAACTAGGTGTTAATGAAATACTGTTTATCCGAGGCAAATGACAATCCAAGTGATATGCCCGGCTACAACGCCCACAGTGTGCGAGTAGTCCAACTCCAAAACAGATAGCACATCCTACTGGAGAAGAATTAGATTCACCATTAGCTTCTCCACATGTCCATTTATCACCATCCAATTCTGCCAGAGAATCCAGAAAATCATTCGTATCAGCAGAAAGTTGATTACTTGCAAAGTCATTATTTTTCGATAATCCCTGGAACAACAAAATATTTTAACTTGGGAGTAAATTCATCCAAGTTAAATGTAAAGTGTAAAAATACAAACTGTATAAACACATTTGTAAACGTATCATACAGCTGGCCAGTTAGGCAAACTATGATAGCCATAAGGATGCTAACAAACCAGAATTCCAATGCACTCTAGAAACATTCGTCGCAACTGATGTATTCAGCTTTACTTTAATTTACGAGGAACATCAACTTAATGTTTTGTTTTGAGTATGCACCATTCCCATCATAATAAAATAAGAAATTATTTACTTTACAATATGGAAGGTTTGGTATCATCATTCGTTCTACTAATACGTTACAATCACACTGAACACTAATTCATTCGTTAAATATTAACGTAAACTGGATGCTTTGGAAGAAACATATAATGCCTTCCCGTAATAACTTTTAATCAAATATTTACGCGTAACCTGACCGCTTCAAAATTTTCAATCACAAAAGTATCGAATCAACGATATCAAAATAACCCATTCATATATCTCCTCCGAACTAATAACCATTACTGAATCGTACACATTACAAAACGATTTCGCTTTATCTCATACAGAAGCCAGGGCAAAACTCACAAGGAGTTAGACGTTTTTTAGATTACTTAGTCCCCAATTCGCTCAAAAACAACTCAACAAGCCGGGAGCATTAAATTTTGTCCGGAGATTTACCGACGGTATTCATAAAGCACAATACTTCTATAAATTAACAAGTATTTAAGCTATGAAGAACGTTAATTTATTGTTTATACACTTTCGGGGAAACAAATATATTTGTTTGAAAATTCAAGGACGTTCATCATAAGCAGTAATTATTTAATGATAAACAAAAATTCGAATTCTCCTGAGACTTACATTTTCTGTCTTCACAACTACCTGACTGCCAAATGTTTGATTATTGTCCTTAAGAGAAAAGGTATTTTTAGCTTGTTTGGGTAACCATGCTATTGTTCCAGAATATCGACATAATTCCTCAGCATCCCAGGTGCCAAGAAACAATGCTCGTGTATTGACCATAGTATGCCAGCCAATAACATTTTCAGACCATAAACTGGACTCTTTAATTCGATCTTTCAGTTTTTGATCCAACGAATCAATTACGGACGGTGAGTCACTCAAAACTTGTTCCGACAATATTTGAAGCAAATCAAGTCGAAGTTTGACAGTTTCATACAACTGCACTAAGCTGGCAGGATCACTGTCTACATTTTGAATGAGATGATTTGAAAATGCCGACGCAAAATTTATTTGTTCCTTTATGGTGAAAAAAAATTAACATTTTATGTGCGATATATAAATCTGACTAAAAAAGTCCACAAAGAGAACTTCATAACGTTCCTGATTTTTTACGAAATCTCTGCAACTACTATTTATAAAGCTTATGGATAGATTGAAACAATGAACTTTCTGCGATTCCGCCACTATCTACATGTGAGTAGGCAATTAGGTGGCCACGCGAGATAAACATGTCTCTTTTCGTAGGGGCGTATCTTGGATGACATAAGAGACTCACATTTTCGTAGACCACACAGGTAGTGTCACAGGTAAACAAAACGGTTAAATTAGAGTAAGCTAGTTAGCTACACATACCTGGAGCTTACGTATCAAATTCTCCGTCTCCTGTAGTCGACCGATATATGCATCTGCCTTTTTGTCAAGTTCATTCAAGAGGCACTCAGAACGATTTTGAATGCAATCAATGAGGGAAGACGTCCGTGACTTGATATCTTGACGAGCTTTTTCCACACTGAATATGAAGCTGTCCTCCATGCAAGTACGGGCGCTAGTAGCACAAAGTAAGGCAGAAGATAGTTTTTTTCCTGATTCTTTGAGGTTTTGAATGCCCTCTTCTAAGGGAGCCTTTAGTTGAACAGCTTTTTCTCCAACCCATCGATGGCTTCCATGGTCTCTGTGAACTGATAGCTGACAGTCACGACAAGTTAATACTCCACAAGCCTCACAGAAGCATTCTAGTGCTTCGTTCGGATGTGCTTCACATCGAAGTGAGCCTTAAAATGGAGGAAAATTTTCAAGTAATCAAGTATTTTAATTCATTTCAATAACAGGTATCTTCAAAACAATTACATAAAGTAAACAGAAAATTATGGAGAAATAATCGAACATTAACCAGGCTATGATAAGATAAATTGCAGTTAAACTATGAGTGTAGACTTCTAACTGTTAACAATGTCTAGCGAATAGCTGAAATGAGATATATCCCCTTCCTGAGTTTACCAATTCGAGTCTCAGGAATCACAAAAAAGTCACTACAGGCATCAAAGTTGAACCCTCTACCACTTAATTTTCCACAAATGATTGCGTTTACACCCCTGACTTACATGAACTACATGAAAAAACCGAAATGCAAACCACGCCATGGATGGTGTTAAGTGTGAACATAGGACTAAATAAAACTATCAACTGTCTTCTTTCGTGCTGGAAAAAGGCTATGATCCATTTCAAATCGTACGTGATTGGACTATGAGGGGAAGTCAAATATATCGTGTATGAAAGAAAAACATTCCTACACTTCAAAAACGTCAATCCCAAAAATTTAGTTATCGTCCCTACCAATCAAGTTTAGCTGCCAATATTATGATACGTAACAAACACGGTTTGCCTACAAATACAGAACAAACTACAGATCTTTGAAGCGGATGCTACGAAGACCTGTGTGTATAGGTCGTTCTCTCAGGGAATTTTATGTGCACATGCCCATAGTCTAATAACTAAATTCTATGGACTAGGAGCATTAATGGATAAATTAAAGCCATTCATATTAGCTGTGACTGAAACTCGGTTAGTCCATGACTTCGATGTTACTTCAGAATTACCCGGATACCGCTACCTAAGAAGAAATAGATGTAAGAAAGGGGGTGGCGTCCTTATATACATAGCTAATAATATAAACATCCGCTCATTTGTTGTGAATGCCATACTAGTGGAACTTGTAAAGTCAGCCGTGAACTCACTATCGAATGATTTCTTCTGGTTCCTTACAACTCATTGAAGCCCGTCGGTCTACTCCGGGTGACCGTGAGTTTGACCACAGACGAAGAATGTTACGTAATGAAATCGGGCAAAGCTTGCGTAAGGAACGTGAAGCCTGGTGGTCGGAGCGTGCCAATGAGTTGGAAGCAGCAGCTGCATCTGGTAATTACCGGAAGCTCTTCCAACTCATCCGAGCCACTGGCAGCAAGAAGTCTGGTGTGAGCAAAACAATCTGCGAGGATGACGGAACGCCGATCACTAACATCCATCGACGTCTTGGACGATGGGCAGAATTCTTTGAAGGGCAGTTCAAATGGCCTGCTGCTCCGGCAACATCGGTCAGACTGTCCTGCCCTCCATGGCCGGTGACGACTGATCCACCAAATGAGGCGGAAGTCCGCAAGGAACTCCAACTCTTGAAACGTTACAAATCACCGGGCCCAGACGACTCTTTTTAAAGATGGTGGTGACTTTCTGACTAAGGGACTGACGACGTTGTTTACAAAGGTCTGGGAACTAGAGTGTGTACCAACGTCATGAAATGAGTCGATAGTTGTCCCTATCTTTAAAAAGGGTTCACGTTGTTCCTGTAACAACTATCGGGGGATAAGTCTACTTCCGATTGCGTCCAAGCTATCGGCTTTCGTCATACTTCGTAGATTGTTCAGAACCCGAGAAGGATTGACTCGCGAGGAGCAGGCTGGGTTTCGTTCTGGTCGAGGATGTATTGATCATATCTTCACCCTCCGCCAAATGTTAGAACACCGCCATACTTATCAAAGGCCAACAATCGTAGTGTTTCTTGATATCAGGGCTGCCTTCGATTCGTTGGACAGAACTGTTCTCTGGGATTGTCTATTGAAGAAGGGTGTGCCTGAGAAGTTTATTAACACTCTAAAAGCCCTATACACAAACACCTCAGGCAGAGTGAGGGCATACAACCACCTTTCTCCACTATTCCATTCAAGCAGTGGAGTTAGGCAGGGTTGCCCAATCTCACTATTCCTCTTCAACTTTGCCATCGATGACATTCTGGAAACAGCTCTGATGGATGTTGTCGACCACCGTGTAAATTCAAACGATCACACCGATTGTCGGTAAACGCCGCGACAACTAGAACAGCTCCTAGAAACAGTCGTTTGTTTTACGTTCAGGACAGAGTAACAGGTGCTCAGTTCTTAGTGGACACTGGAGCAGAAGTAAGCGTTGTGCCTCCAGTGAGTAACGAAACGCGAAATATTAATACAGCGCTAACGCTTAAGGCAGCAAATAAATCCGATATAAAAACATATGGCAAGCGTAAAGTAACCTTGAATTTTGGTCGTAGCACTTCATTCCGCTGGGAATTCGTCATCGCAGATGTATCCGTACCTATAATTGGTATTGATTTCTTAAAGAATTTCGACTTACTAGTGGATACCCGACGAAACCGGCTCGTGAACGGAGACCATTCAGTAGTGATAAAAGGAGTGACAACCGATTACGTATCCATGAATTTAGTAGTCTCAAAAGACAAAAGCGAGCCATATAGAGCGCTTCTAAATGAGTTCACTGATTTGACGAGAGCATCATACGATAACAGAGATCTTAAACACACTGTACAGCACCATATTATAACGAAAGGTCCACCGACCAACGCAAGACCACGGAGGCTAGACCCAAATAGGTTGAAGATTGCGAAACGAGAGTTCGAAAAATTGATGAAGCTTGGTATCGTAAGACCGTCTAATAGTCCCTGGGCATCCCCGTTGCATATAGCCAACTATGTACAACGTCTAAAGCAACATATGGGTGATCTGAGGATAACGCTTCCGAGGCAACAGCAACATCGTGTCTACATGCCAAAACGACTGACCGATAGTACCCATGTAATTATCAGAAGGGATAATGTGCAGCGTCCCTTACAACCGGCCTACGATGGTCCATTCAAGGGGATTAAAAGAAACGATAAAACTATTACGATAGAAAAAGATGGAAAAACGGATGTAATTAGCATCGACAGAGTCAAACCAGCTTTCATCGAAACCGACGATCAGCCAATATATACAGGTACTGCGAAAACTGTCGAACCACCGAAACGCGAGTCCCAATCATCAACGACATCGACCAACACAAACGAAGAAAATCCAGTAACGACGAGATATGGCCGAAGAGTGAGATGGCCGCAACGATACATAGCTACGATTTTGAATTGATAATTTCTTTCACCTCTTCGAATGTAAATTTAATCTTCATTTTCTATGTACAAATCGAAAATTTTAGCTTATCTATTATTATATTCAACATATTTTATGTATTCTTCCGATCTTCCGTTATGATCTTATTTGGCCTCACGGACATATACCAACTCAAACTTACACATATTTTTAATAACTTATACGATAGTTCTATCATATTTCTTAATTTCGTAAATTTCGATATTTCCCATCTTGTTAAATTTGACATTTTTTTCGCAAACACAGACACTTTTGTATCTTTGTTTGCTGGGAGGAGCTATTATAGCAACTCACGTTCAATTGAGTTTGCTCTCACCTAATTCGGTTAAGCCCTTTTATTAACTTATTAAACGGACAAAGTCACCTGCACTATAATAACTTATTGTATCCTTATTACTGTTGCGAATGTATGTACCTTTATTATTGTTATCCTTGTATGAATATGTATGCTCGGCAAGCCTTACTGCCTACGCATTTATTCACGCTACTAGCTTTACTATTAACCGCTTAATTGACTCGATGATTCATTAATTTCACTATGTATATATATATCCATGTTATTCATATTCATTACTCGCTCGCTCGTTCATTCACTCGCTCGATCGCTTGCCTGTTTGCCTTTCGGCACAACTATTTAATGCTTGCTTAACGCATCTGTAATTTTGGATATCTGTGTGTGGTCCCTTAATAAACGTAATTAACGCTTCGTATTCGCCTTCTGATTAACATACCGTTGGCGCATTATTTGGTGACGGTTACCGAGACGAACTGTATACGGAGTTTAAGGAATATATCGAACACCGACCACCACAATGTAAGTAATGGTGGTGTGGATCTGTTGCCTGGAGAAAGACTTCTCGACCTTGAGTATGCGGATGATATTGTCTTACTGTGCGAGAATGCCCAAGCTATGCAATCCGCACTTAATCAGTTGGCAATCAATGTCCGTAGGTATGGTATGGGCTTCGCACCTTCGAAGTGCAAAGTACTCCTACAAGACTGGCAGGATTCTAATCCTGTACTCACTCTGGATCGTGAGCAGATTGAAGTGGTCGAGAAGTTCGTGTATCTAGGTAGCTGCATAAGTGCTGGTGGTGGTGTGAGTGATGAGATCAATGCACGTATAGTGAAAGCCAGAGCGGCTTATGCCAATCTGGGCCACCTTTGGCGCCTTCGTGATGTTAGTCTGGCTGTAAAAGGTCGGATCTACAACGCGACGGTGAGAGCAGTTTTGCTCTATGCTTGTGAAACCCGGCCTCTCCGAGTTGAGGATGTTAGACGACTTTCTGTGTTTGATCATCGTTGTCTCCGAAGGATTGCTGGCATCCAGTGGCAACACTATGTCAGTAATGCAGAGGTCCGGCATCGTGTGTTCGGTCACAGAGACGATAATGCAATTGGTGTCACCATCTTGAAACACCGACTTCGGTGGCTTGGACATGTTCTACGAATGTCGTCCCAGAGAATTCCTCGTCGTGCATTATTTGCCGACTCTGGGACTGGTTGGAAAAAGCGGAGAGGCGGTCAGTATATGACATGGTGTCGTGGTATGAAAGAAAGCTGCAAAGGGATAGCTTCTGTTGGTTCTTCACGACTCCCTGGCTGGAGTCCGAGAGACGGTGTAACGCAGTGGCTAGAGACGTTATCAGATATGGCTCAGAATAGAAGCCAATGGCGATCCTGCTGTAACCTTTTTTTACTTTCTTCATAAAAAGTGGTTGTATCTTCCTTAACTGAAAGATTTCTTCTGATTGTACCTTTCCGTTTTCCCCATCATTGTTCTCTCTCTTTTTTTTTATAATTCCCCACGTTCATTACTTTTTTTCTCCTTCTCTTCAAATTATCATTGTTTTGTGTGGCGCATATATATTTGGTGTCCCCCTGTACCAATATTTATGTGTTCAAATAAATAAATAAATAAATAATAAATCACTATCAAATGTTGTACATCTACACTCGGTGTCACCTATCGTAGCCCAATCTGCTTAGCTGGTGACTATTCTAAAGCGCGTTCAGCTATGGAGTGAAAATAACAGATGCCTAATATTAGGAAACTTTAATGCACTCGATATCAGTTGGACTGAGATGGCCACCGTAGGATCCATAAACTCCTTTAATAGTAGGGTCAAGATAGTGGGAATGGAGCATGCTTTAGTACAGCATGTATTTGAATCAGCATATTTTAATTCAAAGCAAGGATCTTCTTTGTTTGACTTAGAAGCCACTCATACGACTGAGGATACCCCCATATGCCCAGGTACGGCCGAGAGTGGGAAGAGTTCGCTCTTCCTCTCGAAATGCTCTCACATGACCACGTGTATATAGCCTCTGCCAGGGAAGTCCTACTCACTGACTTCTCGTGGCGGGGGTGTTGTTTACAAAAATGAGAGGACGAAAAGTGAATGTCCGGCGCTTTAACAGGATCCCAAACCAATGGTGCGCATGGGCTCCAGTATCCTGCGGGAAAAAATGGCGTATGAACCAATCGTTGGTCACCGGCTACCATGGGACTGCATCTCCCCACGATGTTCCACTGCCTTGTGGATTAGACCTTCAGGTCAAAGGCTCGGGTTGTGACCCCTTAAGAAAACCACCTGCTTCGGTTTGGGCACCCGAGCAGTATCACAGCCGTCACACATAACAAATGAGATCTGTGTGGCGCATATGTATTTGGTGCCTCCTTGTACCAATATCTATGTGTTAAAATAAAATAAATAACAATCTAAATATCCACCCATCGTTAGCAAACAGCGGCCACACTGTTTTGTCATTTATGTTTAAAGCTTGTGAAATAATATACGATCAGATTAAACCTCACCTAAATGTGTGGAGAGCAAAAATATAGGCCGCTGCAACAACAAACTGGTCAGTAAATAACAGCTCATACATTGAAGAAGCATGGCCCATACTTAAAAGTACGCTTGGCCTGTCCACATCCCCGTTCATATCATATCATGTAGACCAAATGACTGCCCATCATAGATGAATGAACAAGTCAAGAAACCTCTTAGACGTAGGAAAAGGCATTGGAATATATTCAACTCTACTGACTTGGAACAGCACAGATCCAGTAATTGTAAGATTAGGATTGCTTGTAAGTAAGACTATAGTCATATAAAAAATAGTTGGTTAGGGATTGTGGGAAAAGTCTGAAAGAGGCAAACTCATAGGAGTGATGGAATCCCACCACTTTTGGTACAAGAGAATTTGTCGATATTGGCAAGAGATGATGACAAAAAAGCTGGAGTTTCATCGGAATATTTTAGTAAAGTGTTTTCTACCGGCGATGAGGAACAACCAATAATTAATCGTAATCAGGGCGGCTTGTCGATGGGTGCTGTAGTTATTGGGAAAGGGACTATATTGAGATTAATTCAACATCTTAAACCAGATAAGCCCAGTGGTCCGGACGATAATCACCGTAGGATTATGAAAGACCTGTCGGATGTAATGGCTGAACATATAGCCATGCTGTTTGATATGTCTTTGCGACATTCCAAACTGCCAATAGACTGGAAAGAGGGCACCATCATTATATTTGTGTGTGGGTTGTGATACTGCTCGGGTGCCCAGACCGAAGCAGGTGGTTTTCTTAAGGGGTCACAACCCGAGCCTCTGACCTAAAGGTCTGACCCACAAGGCAGTGGAACATCGTGGGGAGATGCAGTCCCATGGTAGCCGGTAACCAACGATTGGTTCATACGCCATTTGCTCCTTCAGGATACTGGAGCCCATGTGCACCATTGGTTTGGGATCCTGTTAAAGCGCCGGACATCCGCTTTTCGTCCTCTCATTTTCGTAAACAACACCCCCGCCACGAGAAGTTAGTGAGTAGGAATTCCCTGACAGACTGGAAAGACAATAATCAGTCCAGTATATAAGGCAGGGAGTAGAGACTTAATAAATAACCATCAGCCCGTTGGTCTAACCAGTGCAGCTGTCAAGCTAGAGGAAAGGATTATTTGGATGGCTAGTTTAAACTATGTGGGAGGGCAAAATCTTTTATCCAGGGAACAACATGGTTTTAGGAAAGGCCTATCACGTTTGACTGTCTGGTTGGGATCCGTGAGACGATAGCAACCGATGATTATAGACCTTGAATGACATTGCTCAAAATCGCTTGCGATTGCGCAAGTACTTACTTACTTATTACGCCTAATACTCCCAATGGAGCAAAGGCCGCCGACCAGCATTCTCCAACCCACTATGTCCTGGGCCTTCTTTTCTAGTTCCATCCAATTCTTGTTCATTTTTCTCATATCTGTCTCCATTTCTCGGCGTAATGTGTTCTTTAGTCTTCCTCTCCTCCTTCGGCCTTCAGGATTCCACGTGAGGGCTTGCCTTGTGACGCAGTTGGGTGCTTTCCTCAATGTGTGTCCTATCCACTTCCAGCGTTTCTTCCTGATTTCTTCATCCACTGGGATTTGATTTGTTCTCTCCCACAGTAGGTTGTTGCTAATAGTGTCTGGCCAACGGATCCGAAGTATTTTGTGTAGACAACTACTAATAAACACTTGTATCTTCTGGATGATGGCGTTCATGTTTTTCCAGGTTTCCGCCCCATACAGTAGAACTGTCCTGACATTTGTATTGAAAATTCTGACCTTGGTGTTGGTCGCCAATTGTTTTGAGTTCCAGATGTTCTTCAGTTGTAAATATGCTGCTCTTGTTTTGCCGATCCGTGCCTTCACATATGCATCAGATCCACCGTGTTCATCGATGATACTGCCCAAATATGTAAAGGTTTGTACATCTTCCAAATCTTCTCCGTCAATTGTGATTGGATTGTTGCATGCTGTGTTTTACCGGAGAATCTTGCTTTTCCCTTTGTGTATATTGAGACCCATTGCTGCTGAGGCTGCTGCTACACTGGTTGTCTTCTCCTGCATTTGTTGTTGTGTTTGCGATAGAAGAGCCAGATCATCTGCGAAGTCTAGATCATCCAATTGCATCCTAGATGTCCACTGTATCCCGTGCTTCCCTTCAGATGTTGACGTCTTCATGATCCAGTCGATCACTAGGAGAAAGAGAAAGGGTGAGAGTAAGCAATCTTGCCTGACACTGGTCTTTACTTCGAGGGAGTTTGTCAACTGTCCTCCATGAACGATTTTGCAGTTTAATCCATCGTAGGAATTCTGTATGATATTGACTATCTTCTCAGGCACACCGTAGTGTCGAAGAAGCTTCCATAGGTTTGTTCTGTCCACGCTATCAAATGCTTTCTCGTAGTCAATGAAGTTGATATAGAGTGATGAATTCCATTCAATTGATTGTTCCACAATGATCCGTAGAGTTTCGATTTGGTCTGTGCACGATCTATCCTTACGGAATCCTGCCTGTTGGTCGTGAAGTTGGGATTCTACGCAGTCCTTCATCCTGTTTAACAATACCCTGTTGAAAACGTTTCCTGGTATTGAAAGAAGAGTGATTCCCCTGTAGTTGTCACAGTTGCTGAGATCGCCTTTCTTTGGTGTTTTGACTAGAAGTCATTCTTTCCAGTCTTTTGGTACTTGTTCGTCATCCCAAATCTTTCTGAAGAGAATGTGGAGTATCGTTGCAGTTACCGCTACGTATGCTTTCAGTGCCTCTGCTGGAATATTGTCTGGTCCTGCTGCTTTGCCACTCTTGATTTGTCTGGTAGCCATGCTGATTTCTTCAATTGTTGGTGGGCCAACATCGATTGGGAGGTCCGTGAGTGCTGCTTGATTGCGCAGGTGTATCAACTATTTGGATTCTCCTTAATTCTAATCTTCTTTGTTTCCGTTTTTCTTTCAAAATTTTTTTTCATTTGTTTATACTCATTGAATAACATCTTCAAACACTAATGTTTCCGATTACTGATTATACTTTTACTACCTCTACCACTATGGGATTTGAATCGACAATTATATCTATGTGCCAATGTGGTATGGCAACTTGAACTGATGTACATACGTACGATGTTCTACGTTGTTGCTGACTGATTCTGTCGATGAGTGACCGAAATGTTAAAATGTCTCTCTTGACTATCCCGTGAAGACAGATTGAGACACCTTAACCTATTTCCGACATCTTACCGCAGATTACGGTGATCTAACATTGACTTATCGTATACCGAAGGAAGACCTTGGTTTTAATGTCTTATCTTTTCCTTTCATTTAAAACTGATAATCTGAGAAAACATTCTAAGAAAGATCAAAAGCCGAGATCATATCGTCTACATTTGGAATTCCGTTTCTCGCACCGAGTAGTGAATAACTGGAGTCCTCTATAACAACGTGACATCAGCACATTGCTGGTAAATTCAAAACGAAATTAGACTTCCAGTGTTAGGAATTGCCATGATTAATTTAGGTCGATGGGACCCCTAGCCTTACGACTGAAGAATGAAATTGGACATACTGAATTCTTAGTCCATTGACTTATTCATTATCCTTAGACTCTATCAAAATGTGGCGTGATACACGAAAAACTAACTTTCTAGTAATAACATAACCATAAAAGTTTAAAAATTAAGCTGACAAACATAATTACAAGTATCGTGAACGTTTTTGTTAAATAATAGAAAGAAGTTTAGAAACGTTTATATATATATATATATATATATATATATATATATATATATGACCAACCTAGATGTTCGCTTTTAGAAAGAAGTGTGATGTTGTGGTTGCGTAATGGAGGCATTCTATTATGGCCCTTTAGGCATTCTCCGCATAACCATATGTCACAATCTTCGCAATGTCCGATTGATTTTGTCTGTTCGCCATTGTCATGGCACCAATTGCATGTGGGTGACTTATTGGTGTTTTCTGAATTACAAATGTTAGGATTACTGATAATCTGAAAGAAATATATTGAGTATAATCAAATTTACCTTTTGGCTTGATTCTTTGCATAAAATGCAACAGTATACATCATCCTTACGCATATATTCGGCACATGTTACACACACTACATGCAGGCAAGCAGGTAATATACCAAACACTTCACGACCTGAGCACACTGAACAAACAAGAGGATTTTCTGGAGAACGTTCCAAATTTATCTTGAAGCCGTTACCACAGTCCATCTGCGAATGAGGAGGTAACCTTGATATAGCTGAAAGCGATATTTTGAATCCGTTGTTGATGACATAAAACAAAGTTACTCAAAGAAGACTTCGTCATGAACAACGTCACAAAGAAGCTAAACAACCTCGTTTCAATTTTTATTTTGAATTAGTTGAAGTATGATGCTGTTTATCAAACTGGTGGTCTTTTTAAAGAACGGTTACATTTCGAAAAGGTTTGAAAGTTTTCGCGAAGTAACATGTTCTGTGTTCGGGACCAGTGTTATCCAGTTCCACCACTTTCCTTCCCGCTTCAAGTGCCTATCAGTCATATTTATACTATTGTGGCCACAAAGCTCTGACTCATTAGTTTGATAGGTCTCGGTATTGGGAATCTTATATATAAAGCTGATTCCCGGTATATGGTTAGGTAGTGGCAAAGGACTCAGAAAAACGAATACTTTAGGAGCTTTTCCGTCCGTTTTTGTTCAGTTTGCTATGATGGAAATAGCTAGCTGAAAAAAGCGCAGTCAAACTTCTTGGCTATTGCTCAGCAGGCCACATGTGAGGCTTTTGTAGTGACCTACTTTTGTCAACAGAACGCGATCGGTTCGATGAAAACAATTATTATTATAACCAATTGTACCAGTGACTGTTTTACTGTGCTCGTTTGTTTAACTGTGCTAATGACAGCCATTATACTTACTCTCCCGTTGACTTTGAACTTGTACGAATCCGGTTACGCTCAGTAACCACGCTTGTACTCCTTTGGCACGATCTTGGTATTCTTTCGATACCACGAGATCGCCAACAAATACATCTCGACTACAGCCATCATCTGTCTTCTGATTTTTGGCCTATCGGAATCTTATTGGTCTATTGGCACGTAGTCTTGTAGCAGTGTTCATAGTCAAGCTCAACTCGACACCAAGCTACATTTGGTGAGCCAAATATTGGAACACGCCTCAACTTCGGTCAAATCTTCTGCAACTGGTGAACCTACATCTACGACCACTTGGCAATCGCAACCAAACCTTCCAAAGAAGTCAATTTTGGTGAGTCTATCGCTTATCTATCCACGTCTGTCATATATTTTCATATTAATTTTTAATATATAATATATTTGACATGACGGATAACGATAAGAATAGTATTAACGTAATAGACTCTGACGTACAGGTTATACACTTTCGACCTGTATCTTTTATTCCTCACGATTTCGAAGTTTGGTTTGCTGCCATAGAGTCTCAATTTGAGACCCGTCATATCACAAGCCAACGGCAGAAGTACACTTATGCTCTCGAATGTTTATCGGGAGACCATTTAGTAGCTGTCCGTGAGGTTGTCCTCAATTCCAATGTACCCAATGTTTACGATCGTCTCAAGGAGGCGATCCTCAGATATTTCCTCCCATCGAGGGAGGAACGATTGAGGACGTTATTAGCACGTCACCCCCTGGGTGATGCTAAACCGAGCCACCACCTCACGCGCCTGCAATCTCTTGCAGGACCCACGGCAGCCGATTCTGAAATTGTTAAAGAACTGTGGCTCGAATCTCTACCAGCATTTATCCAACCTACAGTTACGGCCCTGCTCGAGGACGCACCACTGAAACAGGTAGCCCTCACAGCAGACAAAATTCTAGCTAGGACTGGCAACCGAGACAACTACGTAGTTGCCTCAACGTCGCGTCCGAAAGTCGATATCGACGGCAGCCACTCCTCGGCTCAAGGTGACAGGGAAGGGTGTATTCACACACGTCTTAGTTTTCGAGACCGTTGTAACGTACCCCAACACTACGTCCCTCAAGTCCGCCCACGCTCTCGAAAAGCCGTCAACACTCGCCCAACGAGGGCATCTTCCAAGCCACGCCAAAAGGCGGCTTCGGAAGCGAGTGCAGGTTGGTGCTGGTTTCATCGATCCTTCGGATCTGTTGCCCGCCGTTGTCGAGCCCCGTGCTCATACAAGGCGGGAAACTCCAAAGCCGGCGAGTAAAAGCGGCCGTACTCGCCGGCCCTGCCCCCCAGGTTGGCCGTTTATTTTACGTGCACGATTATCGCACAAACGCTAGGTACCTAGTGGATACAGGTGCCCAAGTTTCTGTCGTACCACGAGGTAGCATCAAGTCACAAGCTACAATGCTTCGACTACGCGCTGCAAATGGCTCAGCCATTCCTACCTACGGTAAACGACAACTCGCGGTCAACCTTGGCAACCGACGACGGTATCTGTGGACGTTCATCATTGCTGATGTTCCCACAGCCATACTAGGTATTGATTTCCTACAGCACTATGAATTGCTAGTCGATTCATATAGGCTGCAGCTAATCGATACTTCGTCCAACAGCAAATTCATGGGCTTTAAAGCTCACACAAACGCGTACCGAATCCTCGGCACTTTTTATTCGCGTGACGATAAATTCCACGCCTTATTCGAGAAATTCCCCAGATTAACTAAACCACTCGAGGAGATTTCATCGGTGACCAATCGTGTGGTACACCACATAGTCACCCGCGGACCACCAGTCACGGCAAGACCACGCCGACTGGCACCGGACAAATTAGCTTTCGCTAAACGTGAGTTTGACAATCTACTATCTGCTGGTATTATTCGTCCTTCTCATAGTCCTTGGGCCTCTCCTTTACACATGGTGCGCAAAAAGGATGGGGTTAGTTGGAGACCATGCGGCGACTACCAAGCATTAAACGTAGTTACGCGCTTTGATAGCTACCCCATCCCCCACATACACGACATCACGGCATCGCTCAAGGGCACGACTATCTTTTCTAAAATCGATCTGGTACGAGCATATCACCAGATCCCAGTCGCTCTTGAAGACATCGAGAAAACTGCTATCACGACTCCTTTAGGTCTGTTTGAGTTCCTACGAATGACATTTGGATTATGGAATGCTGCTCAAACTTTCCAAAGGTTTATCGATAGCATAGTACGAGACTTGGATTTTGTTCACGGCTATATTGATGACCTGCTGATCGCATCATCAAACGTAGATGAACATTATCAACACCTTACGCTATTATTCCAACGTCTTTCGGATAATGGAATAGTAGTCAACCCAGAGAAATGTGAATTGGGTAAATCAGAAATAATATTTCTGGGTCACATCATCAGACGAGAGGGTATTCTGCCATGCGAGGACAAAATTCGAGCAATCAAGGAGTACAACGTGCCGTCCTCAATCAAGGAACTGAAGGCTTTTCTCGGTTTGATTAACTTCTACCGACGTTTTATCCCTCACGCGGCAGAACGGTTACGACCATTAACCAACTTACTTCACAGTAATCCACGCAAATTAGAATTGAACGATACCGCACGTACTGCATTCTCAGAGATCAAAACGGCTCTCGCTGAAGTTACACTCCTCGCTCATCCTGACCCATCAGCCACGCTTAGTATAGCGGTTGATGCATCGGATTTTGCTATAGGAGCCGTTATGCAACAGAATATCTCCGGTAGTTGGCAACCCCTTGAATTTTTCTCACGACGCCTTACTCCCACGGAGACGAGATATAGCGCTTTTGGTCGCGAACTGCTTGCAGCCTACTGCGCCATCAAACATTTCAGGCACGCAGTAGAAGGACGCCAATTGATCTTATTCACCGACCATAAGCCCTTAACGTATGCCCTGCATACCAAGTCTGACCGCTACTCACCACGAGAGTGCAGACATTTGGACTATATCTCCCAGTTCACGACAGACCTTCGTCACATTAAAGGCGAGTCGAACTATGTTGCCGATGCTCTTTCACGTATCCAGACGAATGCAGTTACTTTACCGGTGCTCGATCTTCCTGCTATGGCCGCCGCGCAAGCAAACGATCCTGTCTGCACAGAAGCACCGCAATCTTCGTCCCTTCAGTGTCAGGAAGTACCCCTAGCTACTAGCTCAGGTACTATCCTATGTGATATTTCTACCGGTCTTCCTCGACCCATCGTACCCTCTACCTATCGCCGTCTCGACTTCGATGCCCTTCATGGATTGTCTCATCCAGGTATCGCAGCCACATTACGCCTCATCACTGCACGATACGTCTGGCCGTCCATGAATAAAGATGTTCGTATGTGGGTGAAGCAATGCTTACAGTGTCAACGATCAAAAGTGCACAGGCACGTAGCTGCCCCCATTGGCACGTTCGCTACGCCTGATGCTCGCTTTGATCACGTTCATATAGACATTGTAGGACCCTTGCCACCATCGCATGGGTATGATCACATACTCACGTGCATTGACCGTTTTACAAGATGGCCCGAAGCTATTCCCATCACGTCTATCACGGCGGAGACAATTTCTCACCGCTTCGTAGAACGATGGATAGCATTGTACGGTTTTCCCTCGACTGTCACGACTGACCGAGGACAACAATTTGAGTCCGCATTATTCTCCTCACTCACTCGGCTGCTTGGTACGGAACGCATACGCACCACCGCCTACTATCCAGCATCGAATGGTTTAGTCGAAAGGTTTCATCGCCAACTTAAAAGTGCCCTTCGAGCACACGAAAACGATAATTGGTATGAGACCTTACCGCTCGTTCTCTTAGGCATCAGAACGAGTTTGAAGGCAAATATTCAATGTTCCGCCGCTGAACTTGTATACGGCACGACATTGCGTCTGCCTGGGGAATTCTTCACACCACGGAGCAGTAATGATTTCGGTAAATCAGACTACGTCCATCGACTGTCTGCATTTAGGCGAACGCTGTCTCCGGTGTCAACTCGAATACAACATCGACAGGTCGCTCTCCCTCGAGAGTTATCTACCTGTTCACATGTTTTCATACGAGTAGATTCGGTACGCAAACCTCTACAACAGCCTTACGAAGGCCCTTTTCACGTGATCTCTCGTCACGAAAAGACCTTCAAGGTTGATCGACACGGCCGCGTCGAGATCGTCAGCATTGATCGTCTCAAACCAGCACACGTCGATGACAGTGCCCTACCCGATAACTTGAGACTCAATGCTAGACCTATCAAACCTTCTAGCGGGATCTCTACGTCTACCTCGGATCCCACGCTAGATACATCAGAGACCTCGTTCTCACGTCCCGGTCAACAGCACGGGTCATCTGCACCATCTACGGACGAGACTTCAGTCTCACGTCCAGATCGGCAGACCACGCCGCCCATGACCTCGGATGAGATCGCAGGCTCACGAAGTACGAACGAGACTACGGTCTCACGTTCCGGTCGCCGAGTACGATTACCCGTACGCTTTCGCGACTAAACGCACAGTCAATAATGGATACGGTGTAGGATTATTCCTATGCTACACGCATGCTACACTTTTCTTTTTTTGATTTTTTTTGTATCCTGAGCCCACGCCTCCGACCATCGTCCGTTCGGTAACGTCGACTTCAGTCAACTTTGGCAAAAGCTGGTTTGGCCACCCATGCTCTAGTCAACGCACTCAGTCGATTATCTGGTCTCGAATTCGCCTGGCATACGCTTGGTCGTTATGGTCGCGTCCGGTTTCTTGGCTCAATGTGGTTTCGTCCTACGTCTGCAGCGTTTTTTGGTTCACATCCCTATGAACGCAATCGTCAGATTCTGGATACAAACCACTCTGGTGTGGTATGCTAATTCGACCAACAAATACAGCACACTTCTCCTGGTACCGTTCTGCGCAAAAGACCTTCGTTGGCAACTCGAGGATCAACGATTACTTCCTGTTACGCCAATTTCCTTCGTCCTACAACCGCACTTCTGCCGATCAGTCCCACGAATCAAACCGCTAACTATCGAAAGTGTAAACCCTTTCTAGCGGGGGGCTCCTGTAGTGACCTACTTTTGTCAACAGAACGCGACTGGTTCGATGAAAACAATTATTATTATAGCCAATTGTACCAGTGATTGTTTTATTGTGCTCGTTTGTTTAACTGTGCTAATAACAGCCATTTTGGTCTTCCATTGTATTCCATTGCTCTTACGCGGTTTTCGACTACGCACGTATCTTTTCTTGCCGATCGCACCTGTACTCCTTTGGCACGATCTCGATATTCTTCCGATACCACGAGATTGCCAACAAATATATTACGACTACTACTATCATCTGCCTTCTGATTTTTGGCCTACCGGAATCTTATTGGTCTATTGGCACGTAGTCTTGTAGCGGTGTTCATAGTCAAGCTCAACTCGACACCACGCTACAATGGTATTTAAGTTACTTAAAAAATTCGTGCTAAGTTACTAAGTCTCAGGAAATCACATAATGTTATCTATCGTGTAAAGCAGGTTTCACTGCAGGCGTTCAGACTCAACCAAATTACTTATCACGAATGAGGATTGGACCGAAGCCCAACATAATGGGTAATCTTGGTGTGATATTCATAGGTTTCAGTGAAGATTTGATGATGTTTCTCACTCAGGTCTTATTCAGAGGCAGGCACTATGTAAGAAATGTTAAAAAACTTCTTTTGTTGCCAAGGACAGAGAGTAAGGGTAGGTAGGATATTATCTGAATGGATGCCAGTCAAAACTGGTGTACCACAAGGCACTATCTTAGGTCCCTTTGTTTTCTTCTTCACGTCAACTAACGAATTACCACAACCGCTTAAGTCGTCGACAATATTGTTTAGATGTCGAAATCTGGAGAACAACAAAAAGTGAGGCTGATCATCTAGATCTTCAAGCTGATCTAGAAGAATAAGTTGAGTGGTTTCAATGTTAATGTTTTGCAATTAATTCTAGAAATATTATGCTAATTCTCATTGGACACGGTAATAGTTACCAGTATATTATCAACGATAGATTGCGTCCATGTATGCAAGAACACGATGACTTGGGGGTAATAGTCACAATTTAAATAAAGTCACTTGAACATGCCGCAGGTATTCGGAATTTGACAACGCTTTAACAAGTAACACCTTCCATTATGAATCGTACCCACCAAGTGAAATCAAAAGACAGAGGCGAGGAAGTTCGAAGATATATTTGATAGGATATCAATATATCGAGGATCGACTGATCTAATCTGGCTAGCGATTGTGGCAGATGTTGAGCACGGCGTTTCCACACGTGATCTGGTGCGGATGCATGACCGAGCGCCTTCAGCTAGAAGAGTCCATTAAAACTAATGTGATCAGCATCCAATGTCGAAAACTTACAGAGCTATTTATTTTGGGGATTTATTTACCGCTACAGATCACTCTCCCCCTAGTGGGGTAGTGATGCGCCTAAGACGTGGCCAGGGCGCTTCAGGGTCCTGATGAGCAAGCATTGTTGTTTGAGCGATGAGTTCCTTGACTGTGGAAAATACTTTTCGCGCGGTGTCTTCCAGATTGATGGATTTCGCAACTCCGCGAAGTTGGTCGGTAAGAGGTTTCTTAAGAAACGCGCATTTTGGTATGAACCGTCTATAGAAACTAACCAGACCGTTAAACGTGCGCAATTGCTTGATGGTGGTCGGTTCTGGGTAATCCAGAATGGCCGCCACTTTCGTTCTAAGGGGTCGAATAACATGTGCATCTATAGTGTGTTCAAGGAAGTCTAAGGAGTCAGTTCCGATTTGTCATTTCTGAATGTATACAGTAATGCCATGTTTTCGTAGTCGGTCGAAAACAAGGTCCAGATGCTGGAGATGTGATTCTCTGTCCGGACTTGCAATTAGACAGTCGAAGTTGAGGCATCGAAAAACGTCGTCTACGAACCTTTGGAAAGTCTGTGCCGTGTTTCTCAGACCGAAAGGCATTCTCAAAAATTCGTAGAGTCCGAAGGCAGTTAAAATGGCTGTTTTTGGAATATCGTCAGTAGCCATATGATTTGGTTATACGCTTTAACCAAGTCGATTTTCGAAAAGACAGTTGTACCTTTCAAGTTAGCTGTCAAATCGTGAATGTGGGGCAACGGGTAACGATCGGAAATGGTTTTTGCATTCAATCTCCGATATTCACCAGTTGAACGCCAATCGTTGCCGTCCTTTTTAGGGACCATGTGAAACGGAGATACCCATGGGCTATTTGACGGTCGTATGAAGTCAGGCAAACAGATAAATTAGTGTTTCCGTCTACTAGCCTTCGTTTACGCGTATCGATATTTAAGTTGTTGTGTTGTAGGAGGTCCATACCAATGATTGGCATAGAAACATCCGCAACAACAAAGATCTAGTGAATGGGTTTGTGTAAACCCACGTTAAGATAGACATACCTTCTGCCATACGTAGCGATAGGCTTTCCGTTTGCCGCCTGTAGATTTAAAACCGATTCGTGAAGCCGGTCGTTGGAATTTGCTGGAAGAACGCTAACTTCTGCGTCAGTATCGACGAGGTAGCGAGCTCTCGTTACCATATCTGTGAAGTATAACAGACGGCTTTGTTCGTCGGCTTGGAAGTTTCTCGAATCGTTTTTTGTGTCGATCGATTTCGAGTTGGGAAAATTGCAGGGTTTTCTGCAATTCCTGGAAGACTTTTCATACTGGTTGTGATACCAGCACCAATCGAGGTTATCCGTCACTCGAGGTCTAGAGACAGATCGTCTACATGAAGCGCTTCTTCGTGGGGTGTGTGACCGTTTACGGTCGTTACGATGTTTAAGATAACGCGTAAGTGTATGACATAACTCTGTTATGTCATTCTGGGTTGTTTGAGGCTTTTCTTTGGCTAAAAAACCTCGCCATTCAAAGATTTTGCAATTTCAGGGATATGGTCGGCAGATGCAGCCAGCTCGTCCACGGCGTTATTTCGAAACGAGACTAGCACAGCTTGCATCTGTTGAGGAAGTTTGGATAAGAAACGTTGTTTGAACAGGCCATCATAGAAGGTTCTTTGGCCGATAACCTCTATCATTCTTTGCAACATGTCTGTGGCAGAACCGCGTTGCAGGTCGATGTTATTAAGGTGTTGATCTAACCTTTGTCGATCGGTTAGATCTGCACGTCTCAGGATGGATCGTTTAAGTGTTTCGTAGGGTTCATAAACATCACTAGTGAACATACTAGGTGTTACGTACCTGTTGAATTCGCGCGGTAGTGCCTTGACTAGTGCGAGAAATTGTGCACGTGTGTCGTTCACGTTGTGCCCGTAGAAGTCGGCTTCTGCGTAGCAGAACCAGGCTTTGATGTTGTCCGTCTACACATTCAGTAGAACGCAGCCGCCGCCAAACCTTCTTGAGCGTTATAGTCAATTCGTCAGACATCCAAACGCTTTGAAGAGATATTTCAAGTCTTATATATCACCTACGTAAGACCATACCCAAAGTACTATGTCTAAGCAGCCGGTCCATATCTTGGTAAGGATACTTACTCAATTGAGCGTGTTCTGCGTGTGGGAACAAAATTAGTGGAGAGTCTCTCTAAACCCTTACGATGAGCTCTTAAAACGCCGGAACCTTCTTCACTTGTTGTATCGTAGTACGCAAGGTGACCAACTATTGACATTCCGTCTTTTTAAAAAATTACGAATGGGGTGTTAATAAATCTTTCCGCCCTACTCAAACAATTGGTATCAGCCCCATCAGTGAACATTTTCGACAATTAGTCGGACCTTCGCTGGGAAACAAGCTGCATAGATTGACAGATGTTCATCAACTTACCATACTCATTGCTGAAGACTGAACCCCATTTCTCTTTGTAAACTGGGGAAACATTAACCTTCTAATAATCTCTAGATTTCGTTGTGATTAGGGAAGTTGAGTGGCTGGACTACCCACTTAGGACTTATGATCGCACATCAGTATTAATAAACGAGATCAAAGACATCAGTCTGTTTATACTATTTCAAAATAAAGATATTGAGTATTAGATGTTCCACAAATTACGGTGACCTAGAAGTCCCGGTGACAACCTTGGGTCGGACGTGGTAATGCCTTTCCGCTATTTACATTTCCTAACGCATGTGTCATTTATTTCGCCATCAAATAATACTGAATCATATGCCAAAAAAGTGGGCATAGACAAATTGTTGGCCTGTATCACTAATTTGCATTTTAATGCAGTTCGAAATGAAGCCTGATTTATTACTACCTTTTTCATTTTACCGTAAGAACCAGCTTTGTGTATTTCAAGTTGTTGTCGTAAACTGCAAATTTCCTGCTGTCGTCGGGGTTTCGTCCTCAGACAATGTTGAGATATCTGATGAGATGTTATCCAAGTTCGGTCCAGACTTACCTCGAAGATTGACCATTCAACTACCAACGCGAGTGATTCCGGTAGAGTCATTGAGACTACAGATTATGTAACCTGATTTATTCTAATTTTACAATGAAATAGGACTCCAATGGACTCAGTTCTCTTGCCTCTTCTGGAAAATAGTCTACATTACAGGTTGCGTAAGTTCTGACACTGATTACTAAAATTTTCAGAGATGTCACACACCATGGTTGGAACAAAACAGACTATTCGAGCGCTTGGAGATAACTTCAGTCTACTAACCGTCGAGGCCATTTCAGCATCTGGAGAATCGTTCCCCATTCAGAACACCAGGCAAACAATGTAAGATGCTTTTATTATTCAGCTCAATTTGGCATGTTTTTACTCGTTAGTTCCAACACAAAGTTAGTTAACTATCTGTTAGACCTGATTTAAGCACGTAAAGCTCGCAAGAAACTTGGTTTTATGAATACGACCATCTGCCTGCAATACTCACTTCGTTGGTTTAACAAGTTGCCCCTGAAAGTGAATCAGTAACAAAACATGTCAGTCCAAGTGTGAAAATCACCTGAATCTCCCCATAACTGATTCCAGTTATTAGTCTTTTCATTGAGATCAATTTTTTGGATAAAGTATATAATCATAATATCCTTGCAAGTTCATTTAACAGCTTATTCATCTAACCTTCCTCAGTCAGTCAGCTGCAACGTAGGACCAGGCACATATATGCATCGGTCCAAGTTGCCATACCGCATTAGCACAACAAGATAAATACCGGATTCATAGAAGTAGTCACATCAAAGGTAGTAGTATATAAAAGAAAGATTGTGTATAAGGATATAATACAGCAAAAAAGAATTAGTTCGTAGAAAGAAAGACATGAAGCGATTTTAATCTCACAGTTTAAGGGAAGACAGAGAGTGTATACACCTACGCGATTGTGATCGATTCTGAACCATGTCACCCAGTTTCCAACCATTGATTACGATAGTCACACGGGCCCCAACTAAGTAGTCTGCATCTACCAACATTGCTTAGACTAGAAGTTAGCGACTTCAAGCATTGATACCACGTTTTGGTTTGGCCGCCCCTAACTTTCTTCCAATTATCCCCAACACCAGTTAGCATTGCGCGTCGTGGTAATCGGTGTTCAGACATACGCAACACGTGGCCCAACAATCTCAGTCGATGAAGATTCACAACCTCATCAACCGACTTACCATCATTCCCTAAACCTTGCGTCTAACCTCACTATTACTTACCCGGTGATCCCAGCAGATACCCGCAATATTTCTAAGGCATCTGTGGTCAAATACTTGTAGCTTACGAGTATCTTCAACTCTTAATGGCCATGTTTCGCAGCCGTATAGTAGAACGGTACGAACTGCCGCGCAGTATACTCGACCCTTAATTGATAGACGGATATCTCGCCTGTGCCATAGATGACGTAAGTTGGCGAAAGCCAAACGAGCTCTTCGAATCCGTGCTGAGATTTCGTCAGACACCAACGCATTAGGGCTGATCAGACTTCCAAGATAAGAGAAGTTGTCAACGCGTTCGACTACTTCACTCTCTATCTTTAGTTCAGGTGTTGACGCAGGCCAGTCCTGAAGCAACAACTTGCATTTAGAGGAAAAGAAGCACATCCCAAACATTCTGGCATTGTTGCTCAGTGCTACCAAATGACTCTGCATTTCATCAGCGTCTTCACCAAACAGGACTATGTCATCTACGTATTCTAAGTCAATAAGTGGACCTCCTGGTAGGAGATCAATACCCGAGAATTCAGTCGACGAGAATGTTATTTCCATCAGGAGGTATATGATAAAGTTAAACAAAAATGGAGAAAGTGGACAGCCTTGGCGGACGCCACTTGAGGTTGCAAAAGCAGATGACAGTTCACCATAAGCTCTGACTCGACTAGTAGTGTTCGAGTAAAGAGCTTTCACAAGGTTTATGTACTTCTGGGGTACGACTTTCAATGACAGACACTGCCACAGAACCTCTCGGTCAACAGAGTCAAACGCTGCTTTTAAGTCAAGGAAGACCACCATTGTCGGACGCCGATAAGTATGCCTGTGTTCTAGAATCTGACGAATGGTGAATATGTGGTCGATGCAGCCACGACCTGGTCTGAAGCCAGCTTGATTTTCACGTGTTTGCAGTTCACGAGTCTTAGTTATGCGTCCCAAAATTATCGAGGCTAGTATTTTAGATACTATATTAGTTAAACTAACCCCTCTATGGTTGTCATAGGATGATTTTGACCCTTTCTTAAATATTGGGACGATAAGTGATTGTGACCAGTTAGATGGGATAACGTCTAACTCCCAGATTTTAACTAAAATATTAGTCAACATAGTCTCTAAAGTTGGACCACTTTCCTTAAAGACCTCTGGAGCCAATCCATCTGGACCAGCTCCCCTTCCTCGTTTTAGATTAACTATAGCCTTTTGAACTTCAGCTAGAGTTGGAGGACCTACTTCAATGTTCCATTCACACTGTCTGGGAATAGAGGGTAGTTGTAAAGTAGCTGAAGGCCAGCTAAACTGCTCCTTAAAGTGTTCCGCCCATCGTTCTAAACGTCTGGACTGGGAGCAGATGAGAGTGCCGTTTTTTCCGAAATAGTGTTGAGCATGCCCTCACACATTAGTATGGAGTTAACCGTCTCTTTCATTTCCATGAACTGTACTGGTTGAGTGAAAACTTGACTGAGTTGGCTGAACCAAACCATGGGACTAATGTGACGTTTTTACTATCTGATCTTCATACTGTTAGTGTTTACTCCTTTTGACAGAGATGACCAAAATGACCGAATTAGTATGTCTGAAAACTAGTCATAGTAATGCAGATACATTTAATCTTGTGGATAAACGATTGGTTGCATTATTCTTCACCTGTCTTTCATTTGGTATGTTTTCCGCCTTTAAGTTTTTTTTGTATTGTACCGTTCTTCACATATGGCGTAGGGTTCCACATCACTATGCTAGCTCCTGTGTTATGTATTTCGCTACTGTCGAATCTTTTGAGATTGAGATAGTAACTTGTCAAAGCTGTTCTAGTTAATTGCAACCTTGTCTTATGCATGTCGATAAGCCTTTTTGAAGTGGTGATTATTTCTGTCTTATTATATTTTAATCTACTTTCTGGATGTCAACATCCAATTTCGACATATGCTTGATTTCATAGCATTCCATGTAATAAATACTTTTCGCTTCATCTGCGTTCTTAAGAACTTCATGTTCAGGCAGTTTTCAGAATCTGTTTTGTTCTGAATTGTAGGTAAGATTTTTTATTGAAACCTTTTTCGTCATCTAAAATTATCTTGTGTTTTCAATTACTTAATTTTACAGTTTAAAGGAGGATTATGACTTACCTCCACATCTCAACGACCTCAGTTTTCCCTTTGAATCATTCAGCAACAGTGATAATCTGTGGTCATGTGAACTTATTCAGTCATCCACTGATCAACCTGTTTTTAAAGTGAGTTTCGTAACAATAGATTGTAAAACCCAAGTTTTGATTTGGTACCATTAGAAATAGTGATAAATTGCGTAATTCATACTCATATCGTCAAAGTCAAGAGAGGCTGACCGAAGACAACTTTTGTGCCAACTGTCAACGTCCGGTTGCACTCGATTATACGGATAGTTCAATTATAGGAGTGCCTAGTAGATACTTGGTTTTAGTGTGACCTACCTTTTAGTGCATTCTCGAACATAGCTTGGATTGCTGGTTGGCAAATGGAACAACTTCACCGAAAATTAGATATAAGTTGTAAAACATGCCATTATTTTCCATTATGGGTTGTTTAAGAAACTAAGTTAATGCTAAATGTTACTAGAGTAAAGGTATTTTCAGTAACTATCGTTTATATTTGCCTTCCTAAAGATGAGTATAGTATTTCATATTTGATGTGGCTCAGAATAATTTAAACTGATTACATGTAAAGGCGTATTTATGACGATGATATGAGTCCGTAACAGTTCTTTGGAAACCTAATATTTTGTTATTACTGATAAACGACCAAAAGTGTGATATTCCTACATGGTGTTATGATGTTATAACATCTACTGTATTATCCATTATTATGCCTACAATATTAAAAATTTCTAAACCTACTAATTTGTGACTACTCTTTCAATATGAATACGACAATTCTAGATGCGGAGTGCATTCAAGAGTCTTTTAATTTGCAAACAGTTTATTCGTTGTATTTAACTTGGTTATGGTTATCTTTGAAACATGGGTCGTGTATGATGGAGGAATTGAATAAGGAATATCAGTTTTTTACTGAGATAATAAGGCAAGTTAAGGGAGTCCCGGACACCAATTAAACTATTCAGTGCAAATAGTACAACCGCCTATCCCTTTGTATAATTATTTCCAAAGTAGGATTATACTTTAAAAAGCTGGTGGTGACTAGGAATATATATAGTAGTTGTTCATCAACCAACTGATTGACTTGTATAAGTAGTTGTATACTTCCTGGGTTAATTAATATTTTTAGGTGACGGAGATTAGTGTCTGCCGGCCATTAGTGATGAAGCTCAGAACATAATGGGAAGCAAATGCTACTTAAACATGAAGTAACTAAAAGTTTGCGCAATAGTTGTGAGCAATAGCGAGCGGTGAAAGCTAAGACAATGGAAAAGATGGGGGTTGATAGGCAAGACATTTTTAGACTTATCAAAGAAAAACATTACGATTCTGGAGTTGGTGAGACTGCTCCTGAATGATCAGTCGGTCAGCCACAACGTAGAACCATACACACACATGCATCGGTCCAAGTTACCATACCGCATGCAAAATGTTGCTTCAGGATTGGGTTGCGTCGACACCCGAACTAGTGATAGGGAGTGAAGTAGTTCAGCGTGTCAACCGCTTCACTTATCTCGGAAGTATCATCAGCCGTTGTGGTTTGGTGTGTGACGAAATCTCAGTACGGATACAGAAGGCTCGACTAGCTTTTGCCAACTTGCGTCATTTGTGGCGTAGGCGAGATATCCGTTTATCAACCAAAGGACGGGCCTACTGCACAGCAATTCGTCCCGTCCTACTTTATGGCAGTGAAACATGGCCAGTAAGAGTAGAGGGTATTCGTAGGTTACTAGTATTTGATCATAGGTGTCTTCGACACATTGCTCGTATATCCTGTGACCACCGAGTAAGTAACTCAGTTGTTAGGAAACGGGTACTAGGTAATGATGGCAAATCAATTGACGAAGTAGGGAAACTTAATCAGTTGAGATGGCTGGGACATTTGTTGCGCATGCCCGACCACCGACTGCCACGATGTGCGATGTTTTATGGTGTAGGAATGGGTTGGAAGAAAGCTAGGGGCGGCCAGACCAAAACATGGCACAAATCCATGAAGTCACTGACAAGTGGACTGAGCCGTGTTAGTAGGTGTAGACTGTCTGGTTGGGATCCGTGAGACGATAGCAACCGATGATTATAGACCTTGAATGACATTGCTCAAAATCGTTTGCGATTGCGCAGGTGTATCAACTATTTGGATTCTCCCTAATTCTAATCTTCTTTGTGTCCGTTTTTTCTTTCAAAATTATTTTCATTTGATTATACTAATTGAATAACATCTTCAAACCCTAATGTTCCCGATTACTACTTATACTTTCACTACCTCTACCACTACGGGATTTGAATCGATAACTGAGTCTCTGTGCTAATGTGCTATGGCAACTTGAAATGATGTACGTACGTACGAAGTTCCACGTTGTTACTGACTGACTGACTGCCATACCGCATTAGCACAACAAGATAAATACCGGATTCATAGAAGTAGTCACATCAAAGGTAGTAGTATATAAAAGAAAGATTGTGTATAAGGATATAATACAGCAAAAAAGAATTAGTTCGTAGAAAGAAATACATGAAGCGATTTTAATCTCACAGTTTAAGGGAAGACAGAGAGTGTATACACCTACGCGATTGTGATCGATTCTGAACCATGTCACCCAGTTTCCAACCATTGATTACGATAGTCACACGGGCCCCAACTAAGTAGTCTGCATCTACCAACATTGCTTAGACTAGAAGTTAGTGACTTCAATGACTGATGGCACGTTTTGGTTTGGCCGCCCCCAATATTATTGTCACTATTTGTACTGCTCTAGGATTTCACCTTGCTATGTTAATAGGCTATGGGAACTTGAGCTGATGTACACATGCCCCAGATTTTGGACTGCATATGAATAACAGACTGGTAGTCGACCCATGTAGTTGATTTATTTTAGATTTGTTTCATGATTTCGAACACTATGTTCTACATAATACCTGAAAATATATTTGTATCATTCACTAAAGAAATTCAATTTCTTAAAACAAAGTTAGCACAAGGCTGATACAGAATTTAGTAATATGTGTAGTAAAAATTAATTGTTGGTACTCTAGGTGTGTAAACAAACAATGTTTGTACATTGTCTCGTCTCATGGCGATATTTTAGTTGACATATTAATTTTGTGCACGAATCGATTATTCCACCTCTTCAGCCCGTTACTTTGTATAAATAATTTTAAACGGCAGGTTTTTAAATTTTTGAAGCCTGTTGTAGACGTCTACTTTCCGTCGTCATAATAAAATGTCTTGCCATGTAACTTATCATACATATTTTCCTTCTTCGAACCAAGTCCATATTAGTGAATTGATTTTACGACTGTTTCTCACTATACCTGGTCATTTAATTTAGGTATCGATTCTTATATATATATATATATATATATATATATATATATATATATATATATATATATATATATATATATTACAAAATGGTTTGATAGTTTTCTCTCATCTAGCCACTTCCGTGGAATATATAATGGTTTTACTGCACACTAATCTTACATGTTGGTAATAATAACTTCTTTGTTGATAATCTTAATAATTTTAGTTCCTAAATTCTGACTTTTACGTTTTCTGAGGTGTCTGTTCACAAGATATGCTTATTTATTTAACGGAATTCGGTCGATAAAGAAAATACTAGACGGAAAGCGAATGAATACCCTGAGAAATTGAACTTTCCCATGAACCGTTTTGGTAATTAAACACTGTGGATCATAGTTTTGTCGCAAGACTGTATTTCGTTTAGGAATACGTTCTATCAAGTTCTTTAGCTGGTTTAATACTATTCATCATTCATAAATATCCAGTTTACATTTTACAATACCCAACTTTTCCTACATCTAAATTTGCAGCGTTTTTAATTTCAGAAGTCATTATTATTTAATGTTAAAAGTTAGTTGTCTAGTGAGATCTAACTGTGAATTCTTTAAATCAGTGTAACCTATTTTGTCTCACTAAGTTTTTCATTTTATACTTTGACTGTATTTTATTCATCTCGTCATTATTTTAGATTGGTTCTTCTACCAAGTTAATCTTGGTCCAAGCTGAAGCTCCACCTAATTTTTCAGTTGGGTTTAGAAGCTCTGAGATTTCCAAGTTGATACCAAAAGGCAATTACACGAATAGTTACTTGTTTGGTTTAGATACAGTTAGAGATGTGATTCTTGGCTATCTCAGAAACTTCCTATTAACATGTGTTCATGGAAATGAAACTGTTTTTTCTTCCAATATAACGCCTGGGATTATCCTTTATGGACTTCCTGGCTGTGGAAAACGTACATTTCTTGACGATATTGCCAATGACCAAATCCACTCAGTTTCAACAAATGGGGTAAATTTCCTTTCTATTACATGTTGAATCTATTTTCTTAATACCAATTAAGTCAATTATATATATTCCTATCATTTGTATGATATTGTCATTTTTTTTCTTGTAGTCCTCGTATGAAAAGCCAGTATTCGTCACACTTACATCTAACTTGGTCACCGAGTTAACTAATAAATCTCATCATAATGGCTATCGCTGGCTGATGAACATGATTGGACAATTAGATGTCAGTAACAGAAACTGTATTCCTGTAGTTATTTTATGGCCTAACATCGACAAGTGGATCGATAATGATGAGAATTTAGATACTAATACTCATTCTACAGCTGATACGGATGTTGAATCAAAAATGTTTCCCAAAATTTTAGAAAGGTTTATCGAGTCGATCCAATTGGTTACACAGAGTTTGGTTCACAATCAAAAGTCAACATGTCGATTTTGCATCCTAGCAACAGCCACTACGATTGACAAAGTTTTTAGTGTTCATGAATGCAGGGAACTATTTTATAGACGTTTGTTAATATCACTTCCCGATGCAAGCAAACGTTATCAGATATTGTACCACAATATCCAAGCATGTTTGAGTCATGGGACTAATTTCATGTCTAGTAGTGAATCTCCTCACGGTTCCATTGTGAATATCCAGTCATGCGAGATAACAGATGAAAATGAAAGTCTTATTCACGTTGCGGCTCGATTACATGGTTATACGCCCAAGTAAGTAGACTTATTTAGAACTAGTGATTTGAACTACACACAGTTCGTTCTGGTTTAGTAACCCGATTATTTTATTACGTTTAGTCGCTAATCGATCAGTGCTGCTTCAACTCTAGCGCTTATTGCGACAACAACGCCAACAAAACCAGACAAAATGACATAGGGTCCCCGGATAAACGCATGTAAAACAAGCTTTTCAAAGCGATAGATGGAGAGCGAATTTGTACTTCTTCTCTAGAGTCTTGAATACGGATCTCGAATAGACAAGACGTCGATATTAAGACTTTCTAAAGACATAGCCAACCCTATCTGTTGTCCGGTCTACACTGGTGTGCGAACGTTGAAGGAAGCCAGTTTGAATGGTATGAGTGGTTTCAGAAAGACTTTCAGCATTCCTATTTGGTGGTAGTATTCAACTTTCGACTAGTCAGTGATTCGAGATCGTTTAGGCAAAACAGGGTTTCCACCATAGGCAAGCTGCTGTGTAAGTTGGAAAATAAGTATACACAGAGTGATAATAGAAGACAGTAAATAAGTGACGCAATATATAAAAAAATGAAAATGAAAATAAATTTTATCTAGTGGATATGAGTTGTCTGAATTTTAATTGGAGCGAGAACAGTATTTCCGGTAATTGTTGTCATTTCTTTTTATTTGTGCGTGGGTTGTGATACTGCTCGGGCGTCCAAACCGAAGCAGGTGTTTTTATTAGGAGCCACACCCTGAGCATTTCATATAAAGGTCTAATCCACAAGGCAGTTGAGCATCGTAAAGAGATGCAGTCCCATGGTAGCCGGCGACCAATGACTGGTTCATACGCCATTTGTCCCCTCAGGATGCTGGAGTCCATGTGCACTGTTGGTCTGGAATCAGGGTTTTCCCACTCCCCTAAGTGAACCCTCCGTACCCACCAACTTGGTTATACCGCTGGACATTCTCTTTTCACCTTCTCATTGTCGTAAACAACACCGCCACAAGAAGGCAGTGAGTAGGACTTCCCTAACAGTGTCTAAATATACGTCTCCATGTGAGAGTATTTCGAGAGGAAGAGCTGACTCTCCCCACTCGGCCGTACCAGGTAGGCAGCCAGTTATAAACTGTCTGGAACCTAACACTGGAACTCATCAATCCAGATTATCACAATTCGTATCAGTTCAACAAGTAGAAATAATATCATTAGTGACTGTAAAAACTATTCTTGAGGGATGTAACGCGAAAATAACGAAGTCACTAAGTAAGATACATAGAAGAATATAAGATAAAAGGAAAAATACAGAATGAATATACAAGAACTAGCAACTGATTTAAACCTTGTCACTCAACGTCTCCACTTGTCGAGATTATGCTTATCCTGTAGACTCCAACCAGGAACTCTACGTCGCCAACATTAATCAATTTATAAACTGGAGTGAATATGTGTTATGTTTTGGTTAAACCATTCTCAGAATTCTGCTAACTTTATGAGTGATTGGTGACTGATCATATACACAAATGAAATTTTTATCCTAGTGTCGCCACTTTCTTCTTGTTTTGTCTTGTTTTCTTTATTTGGTTATTCTCAATAAACACATAAAAGAAATAGACTAATGTTGTTCGTCAAATGACTAGCTCTATCATTACTCTACATAACGTATTTAGTAGGTTATCTTTCTGGGGCTTCATAGTTTTCTTGACATATTCAGGAAGTTTTTATCCTTATTAGATGAACTAATTCATTCGGAAACTGTATTTCTATAAAATCTCTATGTTAACACTACAACATATTTTCCATGATTTTATAATTTACACTGATTAAGTCATTTGGTAATAGTCGTAGTTTGTAATAATCATCTTTTTGCTTTGATGCTAATTGTGTCCTAAATTTAATATAATTTATGAAACGCATTTTGGAGTCGTAAATACTTTCTTTATCATTTGGTGTTTTGAGTTGGGATGGTTCATAAAGTTCGACTTTTCCGGACATTTAATTTTACTTATTGATTCTGTCGTTTTTTAAAGGGATTTGGTTCGCTTGGTTCATGTAAGCTACGCAACCTTCCTATCCAAACAGAACGACAGTTCAAAGGACTTTCCCAGAACTAGAGACTTTAATCAATCATTGAATTCGTTCTGTGAAATTTTGATAAATGAATCTTTTTCATATTTGCCGATAAATCTTTCTCAACATATAACCTCGGTGGAACCGTTAAGGTGGACTGATATCGGTGGATATCGTGAACTGAAACTCATATTTAAAACTATGATACAGGATCGTCTGGTTAGTGCTGCAAAACCCAATAGCGTAGATGCACAAGCAGACGCTGCTCTGCGTCTTCGTGTACCTCGTGGGATATTACTTCATGGTCCTCCAGGCAAGTTATTTTCCATTTGTGGGTTTTTTTATTTACATTTTCTGAAATTTTACTTGTTTAACTGAATCATCTAAATCTCACAACAGCCATGGAATTAAAGTGCTTTATAGTTAACTGAAACCAGAAAAATGTGGAATACGATCTTATTCAGTATTTTAGATAAAAGATAACTGTTAAAAACATGTCGGTAGATAAACTCGTGTTAATTAGAAATTGTTAATCGCAGTGTACAGTTATTTCATTCTATGAATTACAAAAGCCTACAATTAGTTTTATTTGTAAATACTCAAGAATAACACTGTAGTTATTTACACATATCCGTAATAAATTTGTTACTGAAACCACTACGTATTAGGCTTGTTCATTTCGCTATTATTCGAAGTATTCAGCAAAACATAAGTATATAATTCGGTTCAGTGCATGTTAGTGTTCTGTAAACTAGTGTTTCTTATGCGGATGCCATATTGAACCGTCAAGTCCCAGATTATTATTAGGAAGGAGTTTATAGTAATTGAATAGTTAAGTTCATGAGTCAATTAAAGCTACATCACCTTGGAAAACCTGGAAGCACTGGCCGGCCGTTTCCTCCTATTGTAGGACTCAGCGGCACGCATCTGCGATCCCACTCCGTGAGATTCAAACCTAGAACCTATCAGTCTCGCTCTCTAGCTCTTAACCACTAGACCACTGAGCCGGCATCTAACGGTGTTAATGTCTAATTTCAGCCGATCCACGAAATTGCGCCACCATAACAGATCCGGTTGAACTCTACTGGTCACTGCCTCTCACTAGAACTCCAGGAAATGCCAGTCACTAGTGAGCACATGATGATTATTATATTTACTATATGCTGTTTACTTTCAATTTTCATGTTGCTGTGTTATGTTTGGTGTTGGTAAGTTTTGTTTGCCAACCATCTCCGCAAACTTAAATTTTATTCTGTATTCCCAATATTCGAAACCCTGTTGCCGGCTGAACCAGTTGATAGATACAGACAAAATCAGACTATCGGAAGTTTTAATGTAGGTGATTAAATGGTCATCAAGTCATACTTTGGAAAAAGTCGTTCAAAACCTGTAGTCTTTGAAAATAGAATAGGAAATGTTTTGTACAAATTGTGCAGGACGTTTGGAACGTGGCTTAGACACGTCAATCGAATCCACGGAGAAAAAAGACGTTGAATATGGTAGATAGACGAGTGAATCTTACACCGGAGATAATTACAGATACTCCAATGACAGGTATTTTGAAGGACATTCATGGTCGCTGGACACCAAGGAGGTCAAAACGTCGCCGGGAACCAGTCTTCAAGCTTCAAGTAGATCCGAAGGAGAAGTCCTATTTTTAGAAGGAAGGTGTTGAGAAGACCCAGAAAACTCATCGAAAAAGGCCCTAAGGGGCCCCAAAAGCACTGGGAATCATTTTATTCAACCATCATCGAGTCGAAGTTTCTCAGAACTATCTAGAAGGTGCAGAGTCGTGTGTCACATTTCTAATTGGACGATTACCCATCCTGCTTCTATGTTTGGAAGGGTTCCAGAAACCCAAAGTCATCTGAAATGCTATAAATACCCTAGATTTTCTTTACATAAACTAACCATGGAGTAAAGCGTTTTTTCTATATTTCGCGTCTTTTCTCGTGTAGAGCTAGGCTGGGTTTATTAGAAGAGCTTAAGAAACAGGTTCAAGCGTTCAGTCGGAAGATTTATTAGTAACTATACGCTTTTTGATAACTTATCTAAAAAGATTGGAAAGTGTTATTCATATGGCATTGATATAGCACATTATTTTAAATGATTAAACATTTTGTCACGTAATATAGAACTTTTTTAAACTAATGTATTAGATTGTACATTATTCACACAATGTTTTCATTTCTGCTGAGATTTCTATCTTTTGTGCTTAGGTTGTTCCAAAACTATGTTTGTGCGAGCATTGGCTACTGAATGTCAACTCCCACTAATCGCAATTCAGGCATCTAGGATATTTGGTCGTTATGTTGGTGACAGTGAACGTAATATGCGAAGAATTCTTGTACATGCTCGTGCTTCTGCTCCTGCTATTTTATTTATTGATGAAATTGATTTGTTACTTCCTTCCCGAAATTCAGGGTTTGTGATATTTATCTACATAGTATTGCTATAGTCCATCTAACTTCTTTCTTGATGAATTAATTTTTATCTCGAACACTAATATCTAAATCTATACATGTAGTCATTGAGTTGTATCATTTTATTTATAGTGATGCGTAATTCTAAGTGGCATGAAGTCTTCAAGCTTATCAAAATAAGATGTAAGATTCTTTTTCGAATTGTCACTTGATACAGGGCATTTAAAACCTACCTTACCCCATTTCTTTCTGATGGTGGAGTAGCGTCTTATCAACTTTCACAATTTAGGTCGGGCTTAATACCTAGTATGCATACTATCTGTAAATAGATGCTAGTGTCGTTAATTTTTTTAACTTGTGTATCATCTTTCTGAATTGTTGTTAAGGTATAAACTAGTACATTTGTATTGGTTTTCTGGTAACTGGCGAGTCCCAAATAGGACAAGATGTGCTCCCTGAATTCCAATGCTTGCCATCGTCCAACTCTACATATAAACACAGTTTCACAAAATTGAGTGTTTGGTTTACATAAGTCATCATATATTAATTATGTGAGTGAAAGTCTCGGAAGTTAAATGATCCCGTTATTTCTCCTGGGAGTTTTTTCGGACATGCAATAGCTAAAATAGTTTGAATCAGGCGCTCAAGAGGAAAGTTACCTCATCCGTTTCAAACTTCAAACATTTTATAAATTTGATTTATATCTAATCATACATCTTATCTTTTTCTGAATATTTTATTCTAATATCTTTTGAAACTCGTTATTTAGAGAAACAAGTGCAAGTGAACATGTCTTAGGTGAAGTTCTAATGGCTATGGACGGAGTTGAAGGTCAAAATGGACAAGTAATTCTCGTAGCAGCAACTAACAGAATGGATAATTTAGATTCAGTGAGTAATTATTGTTTGATCTATCCTTTTAAAAACAACTTTCATAACTAGCGGATATGATTTGAATGACCATTAAAAACAAGCGAGTAGTAATCGACCGTTTTGTCTTAGGCTGAAATTCCTCAGCTAAATGCGCTTACTCCACACAGGACTGAACTCACCTAAGGACATTCAGGTTTCGTGTCCCACCAAACATTTATTAATTTAGCAGAGATCCATTGTTCGTCGTTCTTAATGAAAGTCGACTAGCAATATTCCCCCTACTTTTAATTGTACTATAGTCAGAAAGTAATTTATTATGAAAATTACATTTGGGACTTAGGATAATGTTGGAAATGCTAGATCCACAGAAGTCACTTGGTAAATTTCCCAATTTTGTAATTTTATTTTGGGAAATTGAATTTCTCATTTTTCTTGCTAAAAATTCCCACTTTTAGCTTCAGTTGTATTTCCCACTCAGAAAAACCTTAAATGTCATTCTTTTGTTTCCTCTTTTAGTTTGCTATTTTGTGACGTTTGTCAAGGACACTTTTGTACTGTATATATAAGCATAAGTTGTGTGCTTGTTCATTCGTGCTTTCGATTACTTGTGTAATACACATTTCCCCGGCTGAATCTGGTTTTCTCCCTCTAGTTAGCAGGGATGGGGTGCAGTGGAATAGTTTAGCTATTCCTGTTGTTGTGTTGCTGACTTTCGTTCCGTTCTCCGGCTTCAGGTGATATCGTAACCTCTTTAAACGTAGCAGATAATTATCAAAATGTCCTAGTTAGATTTTAAAGGGCATTTTGTTATTGCTGACTTCCATTGTCTGGGTAAGTGAAACTTGTCACATCTGATTGGGACCTGCAACATTAAGAGGGATAATTTTAGTTGGATTAATAATCAAGATGTCTAGGGCAAAAGTGAGCAAACAATTGTTGCCCATTTCCTACATTATACATAATGACTTTCTCAAGCTTATAAAACAAGTCTCAGTTAATGAAAAGATGTTTGAGAAGACAAACGTTAAAAAGATGCCTAATATCTCATTTCTCATGAAAAGCTATTTATAAGCCTCAAAAACTGATTTAACGTCTACATCAACCCCATTCAAAGAAACGTGTCACATTTAAACAGTATAGGAGTACATGCAAAGAGTAAATAGGTGTAATCACGTGGTATCTGCTATGAATGTTAGCCTTGTGATATCAAGTATTGTGTAAATTTAATCGTGATACATAATGGTATAGAAATGTCGAATTGATTGACAAAATAGTCTCCTGAGATGGTTAGAATGTATTTGACACATCCTCAGTCATCACTCTTCAATACGCATTACTGTCTGAAACGGGAGTTAGGAATGGTAAAAAAACATTATATGTCCATTACAAGTCATGAAGCAATCGGCAAATATTGAACAGTCGTGCTGGGGAATGTAGAACTTTTTTGGGCTTTGGAATACGTGTAATATATATAGTTGGAGTTTGGTTAAAAATTAACTCATTCATCTTGTACCTGGGTATAAGCGACACTAAATATAAGAGCTAATGATGCTATCAGTTTGCCTAAACTGAAGTAGGTGGACGGGGTTTCGGACCAGGTTCTTGGTGGCTGGAAGCTAAACGCCATAACCTCTATGTCCACGGCTCTACGTTATTCAAACCAGTTGCTATGGCGCATGGATATTCACCTTTTTTCCAAAGTTTGAGTTCCATGTCATTGTATACCGTTCACTTCAATTGATATCATTACATCGATTCCAATACATTATCTCTTGATCAATTCCTCTTTCGCTGGACATAAGTAAGTCGTGGCCAACTGAATCGAATTATGCTTAAATCAAATTCTGTGATTTATTTTCGACATTCGTACATATTTTCATATCTGTTTGCAAAAAGACTTACAATTATTCTTTGTTGATTGCCTTCGTCTTACTTTTTATGCTTTTCTCCCAGGCATTAAGTCGCGCTGGTCGTTTTGATTTAGTCATTGAAGTATCACCACCCGATGCAGAAGCTCGGACAGATATTCTACGTTTAGAATTATCAAAACGTGCACTAAAAGATAACTTATTACTAAATTCTAAATGGTTAAATTTATTCGCTACAAATCAATTGAATAATTATACAGGAGCAGAAGTTGTCCAAGTAGTTCAACAAGCTGCTCAAATTGCTCGTCAAGATAATTCTAATCAAATATCTAAAAAGCATCTTCTACAAGCTCAAATTCTTTTGCCTCCTCGTTCACTATTAAATTATTTCTCTCAAAGAAAGATAATAAACAACCAGGTGACTATGTCGACCAATACTAATTTGTTATTAATTCGTCGTAAAATTTTAATTTTTCCAGTTTTAATTCTATGTATTGCTATTACTTTTCAAATGGTTTATATTAACAATATATCTAAAGTTATATGAAAAGATATACTTTATTTCTGAAGATATTCATAGTGTTTGATAAACTCAGTTGTTCTTTTTTCCTGTGATTATACGAGTGTGTCATGTTCTCCATTTTTTTAATATTTAGAATATATATGTACATTTTTATTATAAAACAATGACACTAAGAGATCTCTGCCATATATTCCTATTATGTACTACAAATACAAGAAAATAACTTGTTCGTTCTCTTCATTCTCCAAACTTTTATCTGTATGATTTGCTTACGATCAACTTATTTTGAACTTAATCCTTTAGAAAGTGTATGTACATATCAATGAATTAGCTACGTACAAGCATATCTTCATTTTAGAAAGCAATTGTATTTTTCTTTTTGTTTATGAATTCTAAGTACCTAAACATTCCGCTGAAAGTGGATGTGCTAGAAGAAAGATGTTTAATAGAATATACTCATAAGTTGACTCACAACTTTCTCACACGAGTAGAGTAAACGGTCATATACTCCAGTTAGTGTTTAAGCCACCAGTTACTGGTAAAAAGAGTTTTTCGTGCTACCGTGTACCAAAAATGATGTTGTATGAAAGTAGGATCATATGAAATGCGCACAATTACGGGATAGCTGTTTTACTGGACATTGCCGGGATTAGGTATACGGGAAACTCAAATCATGCTACAGCATGGTATTTAGTTCAATCCACAATCAGTAGACGTATCGATATTTAATTCATTAACGTACATGATAGTGGTGAATCAGTTCTCTTTTTCAGAGGTCATCCTAATAAAACCAATGAGAATGGAAAGACTAATATATGACAGAGTTTGTGCGGATTGTCCACCACAATTCATGTCATCGAAGGGAACTGAGACACCTGAAGTAAAGTCACTCCTTTCCGGATGACGGGTTGGTAATTCCGTTCAGTTCACATAACACATCACCAAAATATCCTCCTGCTGAACTACAGATCCATTTTATTTCAATCATTTTGTTATTTACTCTAAAAGCTCTTAAAACTAGATTTCGAAACAATCCATATAATTGCTATGAGATGTAACTTATTTACTAAGTACAAGTTTATGTACTAAACTTTTGGCCACATAAATAGTTTGGTGATTAGTGATACTACCCAACTATTGAACTGCAGTTTGTCAAACTACCTAAGAGATGGGCGTTGAACTCTCTGAACACAAAGTCCCATCTTCAGTTTATACTCCACGATTTCCTTTAGTAAATATAAATGAATAATTTATGTTTACTGCATAAAATTTCAACGTTATTAATTAGTTCACCAATAAATAGAAATTTCTTTCCTGAAATTTTAAATTACATATTATTTATTTATGGAAACGAAATAAGTAGTTTATTACCTCAAGTTATTTATTGTAAATTTATATGAATATGAATTCAGCAAACAGTTAGAATGCAGTATAGTTTTTCAGAAACAACTGATAAGAAGTTAAGCTTTTATTGTCTTATTATTGTTATTATCATTGTCGTAGAACCGAATAATCTCCAATTAAGTTTTTTATTCTCTCAATGTGCTTTTGATTGTATATCCCGATTCTATCCCTAATGAGAATATTGAATTGAATATTTTGTTTCAAGTGAGTTTGTTGTTTGTCCAATAACCGTTGGTGAGTCCATATCCCATAAATTCACAAAATGTTTGTCATAACTCTTACTAATGCTACTTTTATTATCAGTAGTATTGTAAAGGTTCATTGTAACTGTTGGTATTTCATGCAGTGCAGGATTAATTTTATTACGACAAGTAGTAAATCCAAGTTGTTGCGGTTGGTGTAATGAATAAGATAAATCTTTTAATGCGTAACAGTCTGGCGCTAATGACGTTGCGATTGATGAAGATATATTTACACCATATAAACTATTGCTTACATCTAAATAAATAAACAAATAGATTATATTTTCATTCAATGAAGTCTGTTAGTAAATTTGAATCTAGCGAGTAAAAAAGAAAATTTAGGTAATAAACTGAATTGACATCGTACAGATTTGATTTTATATTACGTATATCTTAAAAGTACAACGGTCGATTGATAAAGTGGCTTTCAGCTTTTTTCTACGAAATTATTGAGTCTCACTTTGAGTTAAACAAAATCGTGGAATGGCTCATTACTATAGTTCTTAAAATGTCTAAAATTCTTACGAAAATTATTTTATCATCATAGAGTGAAAACGGAAGTGTGAATCAAGTCAAATGTACCTCATAATTCAGTAAGCCATTAATGAGACTGAGCAAAGATCAGATCAAATTGACTTAAGTTGAAAATGGAGACCATGAAATACTAACTTCAAGATTTAATGTTATCGGACTCGTTATGATATTATGAATGGACTCTGCCGAGTAATCTCACACCAAAACATATAAGCTGTTCGGTATCATTCGACTCTCACTAGTCCTGTTACTGTTAATCAAAAATTATTTTCAGCTTATGCATGGTCCTCAAAACGTTCATCTTAATATACATAGCTAATACATACCGATGGTTTAAGTGAGACTAAAATTGAAAAGCAATTAGTATGATATAAGCCCGGTTAGTTAACATTTATTCTGTTTGTCTATAAATTGTTAAAGTTTTTTCACTTGCGCCATTTGGTTTTCACTAGTTCGAAGTATACGGTTTGATTAAATGTTTAGAATAGTTTTATTTTTAAGCGAAAGGTGCTGGGTTGGAGCCTTGAGATTCGGGTATATCCACTTGACAAGTTCCAGTTAGAACGAAACACCAATCATACATTCCGCTGCTAGCCACTATTGGACTAATAAAAGAGGGACTAGGATAATCATTGTAATTGTATATTACTTTTCGACAGCTCTTGATCGCTAATGTAAGATAACTTCATCTCTTGTTGGATACACTGTTCGAATTGCAACTTATGTAACACCTAGCACGAGGTTAACAGAACGCCCTAGAAAATGACGCCTGTATACAAGAAGCATGCACTTGGCATTATCACATAGTATTAGTTGATAGTGTGATACAAGTAGCATATCTCATTTCATTAGGTCTCAAATTTTTCAAATATTCTTCCAAATTAGTAAATGTCAGTGTTCCCATTGAGATTTCATTTCGAATGCCAAAAAGTTATCCATTGAATTGGCTCTAGATTTATTGAATTTCCTTCAGTCAGGAAAATAAGTTACTGTCAGTAACTTTCAATAAATGTAGCTTTACGTCAAGTGTTATAAACTCTTAACTAATAATTAGTGATTTATATTATTTTATCAGTTTCAGTAATTCAAGTTTATTGTCTGAACAATTAGATGATATTTTTTTCTGTGAATTATTCACGCAAATTTCCAAACTTAAACTTTTCCGATAGCGATTTTTCTATGAAATGAGTATGCTAGCATGCATATGATTTGTGCTCCAATCGTAGTTTACACAACCCTTCAATGATGAATAGTCGACATATTTCAGTCGTTTATTGGTCAGTTACCCTTTCAATCATAAACCCTTCTAACGGTTTACACAATTCATACAGTAGGAAAATGTTTATATATATATATATATATATATATATATATATATATATATCACGTTGAAGCTCTAAATTAGTATAATACGTAATCACTTGCTACGACATATTTACATTTCATGTTCACCTATGTAAATTTGTTAATAGAAAATTGGCTCATAAAAAACCTTCATTATCAGATACATTTATTACGTTTCTTTGACTATCATACCTGCATGTGTAATTATTTTACCATCTTTATCATCTATTTGCCAAGATTCATTTTTATTTAATGAACTGGAATTCAATACACGTTCTCGTTTGATCCTCAGCATTTGTTTTGTTCCTTTAGTGATTGAAGATGTTTTTATATTCGATTTAGATTGTTGATATATGCTGTTTTTTCGTAATTGATGTGTTTGATAATATATTGCTATAAATATTAATGTGTTGAGTAAAAACAATATTGATCCCATTAATATAATCCAGATTAAAGTTGAATGAGAATAAGATAACTGCCCTGAAGTAGTTAATGATTGTGAATAAGATTGAATCACTGTGTCAGTTTCATCAATTGATTGTGATTTGTCTGATAAATTGGAATTCATTATTAATTCATTCTTTTCAAATGGTACTTCTGTTATTATATTTGAATTCTGGTCAATATCCTATGGTGATTGAAAAGAACAAAACAACAAAAATAATACTCGTGAAACAAATTTAAAATGATTCAAAGAAAAATATACAAATAAAAGAGTCATAATGTTGAAATATTTGTTTTTTTTATATTTTTCTGGTGTATTTGTTTAAATTATTCATAAAACATGGATATAAATCTGTCATATCCTACATAAATATATTAACTATAGTTATTTGAAAGTAATCAATAGTTTCATTAAAATTGGAATGTTAATCAGCACAAAACGTAGGTTCATGGGTTTCCTGTTGCTTAGCTACAGTTATCCAAAACTATACAAAGTCTATTTTGACGTCAAATCATATAGACTAATGGTTAGATTTTAGCTTGATAGATAGAAATAAATTGACATTAAGGAAAAGGTGAACGTGAGATTAAATACTATACAGTGATCATTAAGTGTGATCAAATAAAAGAAAATCAGTATCTGTCATATTATTGTGCCCTCCATAGTTTATGTATTTTTAATACAATGTACTATTAACTCAAAGAGAGCTGATGATATACTTAAAGATATTTTTAAAAATGAGATTATATCATGAAAATATCTTGTTTAGTTCGATGAATTATGAGTAATTTATATGCACTTTACCAAATGTTTGTTTCTCATCAATGACTAAATCCAACAAACCATACTTTGGAATGTTAAACCATAGGTATGAAAATACATGAACAATCAAATCTGGGCCATTTTGGGACAATTGATGGTCATTTTGCGAATTGAGTATTTACTATATGGTTGTTAGATTTTATTAACAAGTTCTGTAATTTCGTGTCAAATACAATTGATACCTTTCAGATAATTTGATTATACATAATTACTTATCTGGATATTTATATAAGTATTAACAGACTAAATTAGGCGAATAAGAACATAAAACACAACAAGGGCAATCAGGAAATGTATCGTTAAAATACATGAACATTTTGTATATAAAATCACGGTATTTACAAGGTAAATTTAAACTGTATTTAAATGTTCATATGATTATTCACAGTAGCATGTAATAAAAACTACTTAAACTTAATAATAAAATAATGTAACGTACATTTTCTTTGTATAATGGTAGTTGACTGAAATTCCCAGAATATGATACATTTGAAATGACACTATGTTTTGTTTCATGGAATCTCTTATTCTCCACAAGATTCAACAAATTTTCTACATTGTGGTTATAGTTTCGAGATAGCTTTGAATTAGTTTTCATTTTGTCGACTTCTTCATTTAACCAATCTGTTTCTCTTAACTGAAGAAAATAAAAGTATTTATTGAACAATGTTTGTTGATAAGGGTGTTTTTCAATATTATCTTCATTCCTATTGAATATACTGAACCCTTTCGTTTTTCTATCCATCAATGTTAAACGTGGAAATAGTGTAGACCATAATTTATGTTTATCAGTTTCATAGAGTTGTTTCATTGTGAAATGTTCATTTTCTTTATTTCCCCATAAATTACGTATATGGTCTTTGGTTTGATGAAAAGATTGTTTACTTCTTGATTCATCACCTATTTGAAAATAATAACGTCAATAAAGTACCAATTATAATAATCTGAGTTGCATATTTAGCATCATTAATTACATGTATTAATATTCATATTACGATAGAGGTAATAGTTTATTGTTAAGCTCATGCCTCTTAAGCGAATATTTCTTAATACTCAAAGATAGCTAAATTTTATTGATGGATTTATTGAATATGGCTTTCGGTTAAAGTCATCCATTATATCCAAAGTAATCAATACAACAAAAGCTTGTATAAAATGGTTTGACACGAATTATCTGCGAATTATTTGTGGCTCAGTGAAATGCAGTATACTATTATAGTTGGGACTCATTAATTAAAATAAGATTCTAGATATTTACTGTGAATATATAATGAATCCCTTTAAAATTTTTATCTTGATTTTCCGATGTCTCACTAACTATTTGACTGTGTGATTACATCTTCATTGTGCGGTTAACTCAGTCTAATTTAGTAGGCTCAGTTTATAGTTACCAAATCATATGACTTCTACTCACTGATCAGTGACAAAATCAATTCTCAACTACTCTTGACTTTATTATTTATGCTCAACTGTTTTTGTACTTTCAAATTATCTTTTGAACTCTTCCAATGCAAAGTTTATCAACTGGAATTTACGTGTATTTATGCCAGATAGTACTATAGTTTCAATAGTTGAAATCATGAGTCAATTGAAGCTAGACCACCATGGAAAACCTGGAAGCACTGGACGGTCGTTTCGTCCTATTATGGGACTACTCATGATTTCAACTATTGAGATTACCAATTCTCCACAAAACCCCTTCTAGTACTATAGTTCTCATAGAATAAATAATATATGCCTATGAAATCCATTTCATAATAAATAGACACTTTTGTTTCCGTAAAAGCCTTGGGAAATTCAGTTTATCGTTGTTATAATAATGGTCAGAGATTTAGTCGATTATCTGAAGTATTATATTCAAGAGATATCCTATTGATTCCAGGTATTATCTGATGCCAATCGGTTTTATGTTGTGTGGTATATAATTGATTTTTATAATACTATTGTTTGCAAAGGGTGTATTGGATTGAATCGAATAATACATTTGTTAGTGTATGAGAAGTTTCTCAGTCTTTTACATCTAGTGATGAAGTATTAGTGTGTATGTGCAACAAATCAGTTTCATTAGCAGTTATTAATCAAAGACATTGTTTTTTTATATTATCGATCTTCAGTATTTTATGTTACTTTAATCTTTGAATCATTCCTGTTACAAACAAAACAGTTATCGTAATGCAACCATAAATCCTGGAAAGTATATATATATATATATATATATATATATATATATATATAATTCAATTTAATTGCTGTCTATTATTCAATACTATGCAAAAACGAATACATTTTCATACTAAATGCACTTATGATAAGAGTGTTTAGACAAGTGTTCAGTTCTTTATGGTTTTCACTGATGTTAACTAAAAAATTCAACCATCTCCATAAAACTCTGTAGCTTGCACGCTTTGATGGATTTTCGACTTGGAATTTCATAAACATATACAGATTATATTAATTTATTTCTTACCAACATGTAAATAAAGTCTGGAATCATAAGTGTATTCTGGCCAATAAACTGGTATTTTTTTAGTTTGATGTCGCATAAATTCTTTGTTTGGGTCACTATATAACAAATCAGAAAAAAATTGTGAAGCGTGACTAACTTTAAATATGATTAAATTACACTTGGGAATACTTAATGATCTGAAACCCTTTATGATCATGTAGTATACGAGCATATAATCTACCTAACAAATTCGTAATCAGTTTTATAATTACGAGTTGAAATTAATGGTAAGATATGATCGCCCATTTTTTTAGTAAATAAGTTTTCTTAGAAAAACAGAATATCAGTTTACATTTGCTATTAAAGCAAACTTTTGTTGAAATGTTTCGTGTGTGGAGTGTACTGTAATTGGTTTGTATATCGAATAAAAGCGTGAAATTGATAAACTGGATAGATGAAGGTAACATAAGATAAAGGAAATGGTTTGATTTAAAAATATATTGAATGAAAATATCAATGTATATTATATAGTCTGTGCCGAGTCATATCACTTCGATGAAGTTATTGTTTTTAACCATATTGTATGCTAAGAATTGTTGGGAAATTACAGATTTTAATAGAAATTCACATAAAGTGATAGATATCATACTTTAGTTTCAACCCATGTAAAGAGATTCTATCATATACAAAACACGAGCAGGAAAGGCAGAAATAATTATGATAAATATAGCTTTTAATCACGACTGTTCAGTACTTTTGTCTTGTTTCTTCAGAAATGATGATACAGAGTAACTCTTTTCGTTGGTTAAAGCCCTAATTCGAGTAAAGTGTAATTAAGTTTTATCTGTATTGATCGTATCAATGAGTATGTAAAAACCATAATGTTTTTGTATAAATTTGTTTGAAATGAAACTTAAATTAATTTTTCATACAAATGACAGGGAGGCACAGGAAAACTAATAAAATAGGTAGCATAAACCAGATCTTTGATTTCCAGCATTCAGAATACAAGTATACTAGATATAATACATCGTCACGTAAAAAATATGATCCAGTGTTTCTGGAGAAAGATATGTCCAAGGTGAACCCTTCCCATCAATCAAGAAAATGACCTCATATACTGTTATATTTAACCAATGATACTCAAGCGGTTATATAACATTTTAATTCGATTATTCCAAAATAACACTACAATGAGTATGAATTACTTACTACAAATTTTCAGAGAATTTCTAAACCGACATCATTAGTCGAATTTCAGTATGCTTACAACCATATCGTTAAACATAGATGGTAAGAAAACCCTGGAACTTTTGAACACTTAATAAATTAAGATAGGAATTTTGGAATTATGTTTATCGTATATCAACGAATAGATCGTGCAGACGAACTGATTTATATCGATGGCTACTTTGATAATAGGAACCGTGTAATGCATTTAAAAATCTGCTCTTTTCTTTGACTATCAGATTGTTTGAAGCTCATATATTACTGACTGTTATCTATCTCTTTCAATGTTTAAAGTAAACTTTTTATAAGTACTTACTGAGTCGTCAGTCCACTTTTTCTTGTAGTTCTAGTTTCTTTTAGGTTTTTATAAGTATGATATTTTTACTAATTGTGCAATAGCATATTTTTCGACTCAACAGACTTTTAAAATCAGCAGGATAACACAAGTTTTTTCTCATTTAAAACCATTTAATTTCACTAAGTCTATGTACGAGTATACTCACATGAATATGGGAAATTAAGTAGTTTATTGCTGTTTCTAGATATAACGACAGGCTAATTAGGGTTTATTATAATACTCTTCTTAATCGTTGTACTAAGATTTCTGTAGACAATATCACTATTTAAATGTAGTTCCCAAAATGTTGCTTTCATCATAGTCTCTGTCATCTACCTTATCTTTTTATCTCATTTATGTATTTTTCTGATAAATTTGTTTATGTATCCTCTCCTTTAATCTTTAAGTACTATGAAATTGTAATCTACGTAGTGACACTAAAATGCTCCCTGGTTGACTAAGCCCTCAGTTGATTAATTCCTTAGTTTTTTCTTCAAAAATGTCTGCAAGAAGTTGATCTAGTGGAGATTCCATAGTTACACCATCTTATCCGCTAGCGTCCTAATTAATGAACTGAAAATACACATTCAATATGAACCTGATACATGGCTCCTTTATTGTAATACTTTGCTCTATAAGTTCATTGAAAATGAAATCCATTATATCTAGTAAACGAATACTGGAATGTTACTTCCTTTCCTTCATTTTCACAGAATATCGTACCAAATAAAATAAAGAATATCTTGAAAGCATAATAAGTACTACACTATACATAAGTTCATTCACTACACACTTTACCCGTTATGCATAAAATTTGCCAAATAATTCATTAAATTGACAGAAACTTTTTTATCCATATCTGTATATTCATTAGAGAATGGTTCTAATTGATTTGGACTAATAAATGGTGCACCAAAGAGATACGGTAAGTCATCAGCAAAACCAATTTTTCCCATTTGTAATTGTTTTCTAGTAGCATTTCTATGCTTTGTTATTTGTTGACTTGTTTTGTAATTAAAGAATAATGCATAAGTTGACTTCTTTTGTTTACCATAATTGTTAATTTGTTCATCCGAACCAGTTATTGTTGGTGCACCAGTTGTGAATAATAATGTAGGCAATGATGATGACAAGGAAGGATTTTGCATTCCGTTGGCAATTCCTTGACCTGTGTGGAAATCACTATGCATTTTCAGTGTTTGTAAAATTGGTACAAGGTATAATCCATCCGATAATACGTCTAAAATTTTCTGTAGTTTGGTTATGAAGCATAAAATAAGATGTGGAAAAATTAGTCTGAAATGAATTTAGAAAACTGACTAAAAGTATATATTTAAAGAAAATTTCAGATAACCGAATCCACTAGTCGTTTATCTTCAAGCATTGTATATGCCTAGCTACCGTCATAGGGAACGAATCTCTATTGATGCCTTGTGCAACATTCAAGAATGGAATATCAAGACGATATCAATTCACAGTAGTTGAACAAGAGCAGAGAAAGCCAAAGTATGAACCGAATACACAGAAGCAAAAAAGAGGGTGAAGAAGAGCATCAGGCTGTCAAGCAGAAATACGTGGAAGACCTAACAACGACAGCGGAAAAAGCTGCAACCGAAGGAAATACGAGACAGCTATATAACATAACGAAGAAACTGGCAGGGAAATATAGTAAACCGGAGAGACCAGTCAAGGACATGGAAGGCAAGCCAATCACTGAGATTCAAGAACAGAGAAATAGGTGGGCAGAATACTCTGAAGAACACTTGAATAGACCAGCCCCAGTGAACAGACCGGACATCGAAATAACAGTGGCATCACACGATTATCGGTACTTGGAAACGTTTCCAACAGTGTGTTGTTGAACAGGATAAAAGATTCAGTAGAAGTCCAGCTTCGAGATCGATAGACCGGATTACGTAAGGATGAGTTATGCACTAACTAAATTGCGATAATACGAGTCATCGTTGAACAATCAATTAAATGGATTTCGTCACTATGAATCAACTTCCTTGACTATGAGAACGTGTTAGATAGCGTGAACAAGAGGACTTTGTGCTATCTTCTTCAACACTATGGTGTACCTGGGAAAATGTCCAACATCATCAGGAATTAATACGATGGAATACACTGAACAGTCCTGCATAGAGGACAGTTGAAAAGTGCAGTCCAATAGGGGTCTAATATCAGACAAGACTGTATACGGCTACCTTTCGTTTTTTGTTCAGTTGTTGTCCGAATTAACAATAGACAGATTGCATGCAACTTGACGATTCGGATCTCACAAATGACCTATCTCTTCTGCCCAATACACATGAACAAATGAAGGTGGAGACAAACAATGTAGCGGTAGTCTCTGCATCAGTAGACCTCAACATACACAAGAGAAAAAGCAATATCCTCAAGTACAACACGGAGAGCACCAAATCAATCACGCTGCAGGTGGACAGGAGATATACTGAGGAAATCAACAAACCGCATGATAGGACAAGGCTAACTTAGAATCCTGAAGGGAAAATGAAAAGAGGCAAATCAAAGAATATATTGCACAGGGAATGGAAAGCAGAAATCAAAAGAATGAATAACACCTAGCAACAACTGGAAAGAAGAGTACGTGGCTTAGATCGTTGGGGAATCGTGGTAAGTAAGTAAGCTATCGTCTACACTCAAAAATGATGCCGGCTAACATTGAGGGAGAATTTTTAGGAGTCTCACAAAGAATAAGTATTCAATAAAATCGATTGTTTACTCACGCTGTATAAAAATATCTAAAATTTATGACTGTGTTCCTCGAGTTGTCTGAAATCAATGGTTGGAAACATCATGTGGAATAAAGTTAAACAGTTTGCAGTGTCCGAAATGTTATTATCCTTCATTTTTTGATGATGCTCGAATTTTTTATGATATATTATACTTTTAATATAATAGGTGTAATTCGCTTATTCTTTCAGATGATGTTTTCTATGTTTAATTTTTGCACATTCAGTTATGTAATTACCCTGACTACTTTTCTCTTGGACCTGTTTGTTTTCTTGAATGTTTATACAGAGGTAAAGTTGATGCTGAAACAGATTGGAAAAATATACGTCCACTTTAGATCCTTCGTTGTCCATAAATAGCTGATTTTTATGTTTCCATTCATTTATTGGGAAATAATGAACTAATCTTTGGGATCTACTATTGAAATTGTTTTCAACTTTTATGAACGGATTTGCTTACTTAAAATGAAATTACTATTAGTACAAAAACTTTACATTATTTTTCTTTTGGATTCCTCAATTAATCAAAGTAACCCATAGTGTCATTGAATAAGAAAAAAAGAATTCAGCGAAGAAAATTTCATTTTCGACGAAATCATTTACTTAGCTTATACAAGTTTTCTTGATTATTATTCAGTTTATCATTATGAACTTGGCTGTTTGTCGCTTTTCTTTATCTGTCAATTGGACTATTAAATGACCCACAACGTATGTTCCTCTTTACCCCTTGATTAGTACGTTAACCGCATTTGTTATTTAATCTCAAATCCATTTTTGTGATACAGTCGTATCTATCCTTCTATAGACATACATTTGTGGTGGTCGATGTTCGATATATTCCTTAGACTCCGTATACAGTTCGTCTCGGTAACCGTCACCAAATAACGCTCCAACGGTATATTAACCAGAAGGCGAATACGAAGTGTTAATTACGTTTATTAAGGGACCACACACAGATATCCAAAATTACAGATGCCGAGCATACATATTCATTCAAGGATAACAATAATAAAGGTACATACATTTGCAACAGTAATAAGGATACAATAAGTTATTATAGTGCAGGTGACTTTGTCCGTTTAATAAGTTAATAAAAGGGCTTAACCGAATTAGGTGAGAGCAAACTCAATTGAACGTGAGTTGCTATACATTTTCCATATAACTATATATACGAATGTACAGCTTGAGTAAATGATTTCGTTAAAAAGAAAATTTTCTTCGCTGAATTCTCTCCTCAATTGGTAATAATAACTCACAACAACCTCATTCGGTTGGTACATTTGACACTACTTGAATAAAATGACGACGATTACGTCGCTATCCATTTAGATATATCTCGTGTAATTATCTCTAATATTCCGAGTTCAATCACTGTTGTGATTTGCTTGAGTGTTAACATAAAAAAACACAAGAACAGAAGTAGACCTTATTGACTTACAATGGCAGATCAATTTACATCATAAATAATGAACATCTTGTGACCTTTATTAACTGTACTTTTATTATCAAACACTTACCCAATGACAATCAACCTCCTTAAATTGTTTTTCTGAATTCCCAATATATTCATCATACTTATTATCATTAAAATGAAATATATCAGAATTACAATAAGTATATTCAATAATTTCTTTGATTACATCTTGATTATAAGGATACATTTCATTTACCAATTTTCGTACTAATAAACTATAAGGCATTTTATGTATATTATTATGTGAATAATATAAATTAGATGCTGGTGCTTCAGTCCATCCAATCAATAAATCTGTATTCATAAACAAACTTTTCTCTATACTATGAGTTTCTAATATTCGATTATTCAATTCATTAGATTTACTAAAAAATTGTGAATATTTTCTATCATACCACTGTTGTTGTTGTTGTTGTGTTGTTGTTGTTGTTGTTGTTTACGATAATCCTGATCATATTGTCTTTGTTTAATTGAACTACTATCGATTAAATAACTTGGAAATAAATTTTTCGATAATACAGGTCCTAAATATGTTATTATAAAGGATTGAGTTAATTTCTCTTGTAAATTTATTAAAAAATCAATAGTGGAATTTTTTAATGTCATAAATAAATATTTTAATAATTTTAAAGTTATATTAGTATTGGTTTTATTAACAATATTGTTTGTAATCAATAAATCAATATTATGTAATGAATCATTATATGCTTCTAATGAATTCAATTGGTTAGTTTGTGAAAAAAGTGATTTTTTTCTGTTTAAATAATCAATATTATCATGTTGATCATGATTATTTTTATTTAATAAAAATGTATTATTTTTTAAGTTTTGTTTTGTTATGTTTAAATATTTTAATAATTTAATTAAAATTGATGATGTTTGATGTGATGTTGACCATGGTGCAAAACCGGATCCATTTAATAGTATAATACGTTTGATTCCAGTTCTAGTTGTACCTAAATAATATATATGAATAATTATTTTTGCTGTAATTTTAAATACAAACTTAACTAAATACTTATAAATAGTTAATGTTTTTATATAAAAATTTCAATTTTTATTTTTAATATTTATGTGTTATAACTTGTGACCTCTGTGCCCTGTTTATTGTATAACGTAACGATACCGCCAATTAGAGATCAGTGAATTATCGATCGGACCAGTGACGCATAAAACCTGTACGAGCAGTCTAAAGTCCTGATTTCCGCCTAGTCCAGCCAGTTAAGTCCAGAACACCAATCTCACCCTCTGCAATATGAATCATTTATTTCAAGCATACTGGGTTTATATACCAACTAGACAGACCACATCGTATCATAAAATAGGAAACAGCATTTGTACAAGAATTAGCCAAATGTGTCAGTTAATGAGGGAGGCGGTAATTAATAGACAGGGCATAACTCAAGAATGGTAAATCGTATAATAATAGTTCATAGGTCAAAATAAAGCTCACAATAAGATGGATATGAATATGAGCAGTTTAGATACCTAACAATTATACGATAATAAATATACGCATGGTATTGGTTCATAAATGAATCTCAAAAGTTAACATCCATTATTCTTATCGGGACATAACATCATGTCTCTTAGCTTTTTAGTGGTTCTATAGTTCAATAAAACATATAGTCGAATTGTTTTTATCACTGGTAATTAGTTTTGTAAATTCTATTTTTAACAAAATTATTTTATTTAAATATTCCTTGAGTTCATTCACAATATCAACTATTCGAATATTCAAATAGATTTACGCCTATACCTAATTTAAAGGTCAAACATTTTAGTTATCTAACATTGAAAACCAGAGTATGTTAAATAGAAAGAATGTATTTGTATAATCTTAGTGAATGAATTTGAAGTAAATTTAACTTTTGGCTTGGAGCAGTTTGCTAAGCGAAACTTTGGATTTACTTCAAATTTATTTGCTGAGATTCTACAAATTCATTTTTCTTTCTCAATGTGTCATATCAACTTGGCGCCCAAATACTGTAAAACTGTTTGTTCAAATTTAGACGGAAGTTCCTATAAAAAGTATATTGTATATAAAACCAATCTGTCTTGTAGCTTTACTGTATTTGATGTTACTGTTTATATTGTTTCTAAGCCAATATGTTTAAGGAATTTCACTTCATTAATAGTCTTCAATTAACACTTTTATAACATTTTATCCATGTCTACTGTTGAATTTACTTCGCTTAACCCGCCCTCCATCTCATAATTTGTTGTATGTAGTTTAAGTATACGTTGTTGGTCATTATTGAAAATACTCTTTTAGTAAGGGAGAACATAGGTGAGAATAACCGATTATATTTAGCACACAATTATAGAGTTACTTTGTAAGATGGAAGCGAAGTCCGACTCACACGTCCGCATCGTCCCTCATGAATAGTGGGACGAATGACTCATGAACTAACGTGAGCGGTAATACGGGTGGTGGAGATCGGGTTAATCACCCACTCTTACCGATACCGATCAATCGATTGCGAAACCCACAGAGAAACATGGCACAATTACATTTAGAATGGAAAACGATAAAAAGTTTTCGAAAGTGGTCCATGTATCATATGAGGTTGCTCGTCGTTGGGCAAACTCCGAAGAATTGCAGAAACAACTATCCTAACCCCGGTAGTTGTACCGCGCTTGGATGTGGCCTGTTTCTTTCCAGAAGAGCCTAATAGGCTTCACCAACTTGTTTGGCTGGAAGGGAGGGGTTGTAAGATGGAAAAACTATACTCTAATCCTTAATTTTCAAAATGTTCATGAATTGTCTCAGACTTCATTGTCCATGCATTTCCATACCGATTACATTCTATTCCCGTTCTTCCCTTCTTGATCTTCTCAATCTTCTACTGCCAGACATTATATTCCTGATTCGCGTTATATACTATTTATATCACTTTAAATAGCACACACCACACTATTACTCTTCAATTTTGAGTAAATCAAAAAATAATTTAAATATAATTAATAAATAATTTATAAAATTACCTTGAGACATTTTTGATAAAGAAAATAAATGTATTAAAGCAGCTCCATGACCATAACCAATTAATGTGATTTCATTTGAATTACCATTGAAACTATCAATATTTGTTTTAATCCACATAATAGCAGCATGTAAATCATAAAGTGCATAATTTCCACTGATACCATGATTGTTTGTGAAAAGAAAACCTTTTTTTAAAAAAATAAAATAAATTGGATTAAATACAATAAATTACTGAGGAAAGTTTTAATTCACATTTACTCACTTTTGTTTCATATTTGGTTAGATGATTATTAAATTCTCTTCAACTTATAATGAAAAAACTTTTCCTATTTATATCACTACAATTATAGAATTGATTATGATTTTCATAGAATTGTATAGAAGTTTTACTGAACCAAGTAAATAGAAATTTGTCATTACATAACACTTCTATATTGTGAGTATTTAGTCCATTTTGCTCAACTTTAACATAAAATCATAATTGAAATTGGTATCTTTTATTCATGGTAGATTGTATTGGAGTGAAGTTTTCACTTTTAGGCTAATTCATTGTACACGACCAAACTTATAATGTTGAGTGGTTATTGACTTTTAGGACACTATCAAACAAATACCATAAGGTGATAAATGACATTATTAATTTCAATAAGTATTGATATTAAACATCACATTAGAAAATGAGAAATCAATTCATTGGAGTTCGCTCTTTTCATTTTACCATAATGATTATAATGATGATAAAAATTTTACTCAACCACTTAACCATCAGGTAGAATAAATAAAAGCATTATAACATTGTTTCTATTAAAGAACTTGATAATAACGTTGTCGCTCAAAAAAACACCATAGTAACAGACAGTTCAGAACGCTGCGAAAATGTTTACTGGAAAATCCCTTTGAATAACTTAGAATTGTTTATTTGTACACTCAGAAAATCAGTTTTTGTACAAGAATTATACATTATTAATGTTCTGCCAAGAGACTATTGAAAATCTTTATAGGCGATTCAGCTTACAAATGAATGCTATAAACTCGTGATACATATGTGGTATGTGCTACTTACGCCGACAGTTATCAGTAGTATGTAACGTCAATCAAAAATGGTATGCCTGACAGTAGAATGTTGAGAAGATCGAAGATGAGATAGCGAGATTAAAAAGTGATTTGTATGGAAATGAAGGAACAATAAAGTCCGAAATAATTGATAAATATTTTACAAATGAAGTATTTACTGTATGGTTCTCAGATTTTATTAAAAGATTCTGTAATTTTGTATTCACATACACTAATGTTCTCGTTCACGACACATATACAACGTTAATAATGTTCCAATAAGAGCTTGAATTAATGAAATTTGTTTACTTATATATTAAATGATACATTTAACTAATTAATAAACATTAGCAAGAATATAAATTTTCAAAGCTGAAACAATATTTATAAATATTTTCCTTTCTCTTTTGTTTTCATTCATTAATGGAAACAATTGCATAGAGCGTTGTAAAATGATGTAACTGATTGACATTTATCTAGAAGTTTCTGGATCTTTTTTCTAAAGTATCAAATCAACTGAATATCACATGTAAATTTGTTTAAAACACACTGAAAATAAAACATAACAAGAATATATTTTATTAATAGAAATTTGAACTTACCTAATAACCCTAATCGATAATTTAATGTAATACCAATTGTATCACTATAACTAGCCAATACTGACAGATCATATGCATTACCACTTCCATATTCATATGATTCACCGTGAACAAATAAAAATATTGGTCGCTTATAGGGTTTTCGTGTTTTGTCTATTAAGATTTTTTTTTATAATTTCAGAAGGGGTTTTGTGGATAAATGAAAAATAATTAAATTTATTTTTGCGTATTAATCAAGAATAATAACTTTAAAAATCAAAATACTATGAAAATAAATGATTCGTTTAGTTTCAAAAGTTTATCTGACGGATTCATCATCAATATATTTGATCAAACAATTCAGTCTTTTTGTAGTAGCAGATAACTTTTAAAAAAACAATGATCATTTCACTGACTATACAATTTTTTGTTTAGATCTATTCAATTAATAATGATACCTGATCCATATTTATTGTTTCAACCTTTAGAAAATATGTAATTATTTTCAAAAAACTTAATTTCTTACAAGATTTATCACCGTATGGAACTCAAAACGACTTTCAATCAATATCAGTCAGAATCTTCAATACGAACGTCAAGGCAGTTATACTGTACGGAGCTGAAACGCGTAGGACGACTACAACCAACATCAGGATGGTGAAAGTATTTATAAATAGTTGTCTACGCAAGATACTCAACATCCATTGGCCGGATACTATCACTAACAACCTACTGTGGATTAAAACAAACCAGCTTCCAGCTGAAGAGAAAATTAGGAAAAGACGATGGAAATGGATAGGACATACATTGAGAAAATCGTCAAACCTTAACTTGGAATCCTGAAGGAAAGCAGAAAAGAGGAAGGATGAATAAGAACTGGAAAGAGTTGAAAGGAGAATGCTGGTAAGCGACCTATGCTCCTTCACGAGGAGTAACAGGCGTATGTAAGTAAGTGAGTAAGTTCATATGTGATAATGTTTTATATTGTTTCCTAAGTCAAATTATTATTTGTTTTATATAAGAAAATGTATTTGTATATCTTAAATTTATATATTCCGACATCAAAATATCATTTGTAAAATTGAAAAAATATCAGTCTCAACAAATACAAAACTTCAAAAATGAAAGATTGGCGCCAGACAATAAGGACTTCTGACTTTATATCTGATTTAATCTAACTTTCAAGATTAAAAATTTGATATTCAGATTCTAAATACACCTTATTATATATATCAATTCGATATCTGAATATTTTTGTGTAAAATGTAAATGTAAACTCGGTACAAACCGATAGAATAATTAACAATAAAAGAGTCCACTTTTTAAACTGGGGTTTTGGTCAATTTTTTTTCTCTTTTTTTTTAGCTTAAAATACAGACACTTTCCGGTAAATTATTGAATGTGTCTATATGACTGAAATCTATTTTATAAAACATAAGAAAGTTTGGATATTGAACTAATAAAAAAACTGATACGTTACTCTTATGAAATCTTTAACAATATAATCAAGATATATGAATCTTAATGACAGAAGAAAATCTTTAGATCATGCCTTATTACTTAATGGATAGTTGTATAATGTAAGAATCACATAGGTGAAAATAAAAAATAAATGATTTATAGTTGAGCGGTATTTTATATGTACCGTTAAGTTAATGACTTTAAAAAAGAGAATACTCTTTCAGAACATAATATTAAGTAGAATTTCGAAATCGACTATATTTTCGGTGAACAACATAATTCCAAATTCACTTGGTATTATTTGTTTGCATCTTTCCATTGATGTTTAGGACTGAAATTGGTCAGTCTCCTATTGGCATATGTGCATCCTGTGTGGATTGCCTCGATATTGCCTTAATTCACAAGCTTTTATAAGCATAGATGGATAGTGGCTAGCAGTGGAATCCAGGACGCGCCTTTCATCCTGTTTGGGACTCGTCAGCTGGATGCACCTGCATCTCAGAGTTGATGTTCGTTTGAAACTAAACTAACATTCATTTAATAAGGCATAAATGCATCCTTGAATATACTAATGATATCCTTAAGAATCAATCTGGAGTCATTAAGTTCTACAATTTGTTGGAAATAAGAAATTACAACTTGGTCCAAAACAGCTATTCGTTACTTTATATTCTTTCATTTAATGATTATATAACTGGGTAATCAGTTTGTGATAAAAATAACCTCCAAAATATAAATAAATTTCGCACTAAACTAACCATTTTTGGAATTGAACATTTAACATAAGAAAGAATTTTATTTTAAATAAATAATGAATACATTATTAGGACATAACAATTGAAGAAAATGTGTATAAATTTATATTTATTCTAATAATTATTCATTTGTGATAAACAAAAGAAGGATATTTGAGCAAACAATTGTTTTCAATAGCTTCATCATTAAACTCTACAGTTATAAGTAATTACTTATATCGTAATTACCTTGACAACACTCCCCTTTATTACATAATATATTCACACAACAATATTATTATTGTTATTATTTCAATTGATAAGATGAAATTCTCCTACTACGCATTTTATGCACACAATTTTTTTCATTTTCATTTTTGCTATAATACTATTCTACTGATTATGACTGGACACTACTCCAAATCATTCTGACCTTTATTAAATGATCTTTCTAACAGATGCAAACGTTTACCATTTTTAATATATAACATTGTCAAATTCATTAATACATACCTTATTTTGGCTTTTGTAAAATATCATAATCATGGACTCATAACTGTAGAGCCTGATGATAAAGTTATTGAAAAGAATTGTTTGCTCAAATTTTCTTCATTTTTGAATATTCTATGGGGATTTTTAAACTGATAAACAAAAGAATTACATATCTGTAATAACATTTCATCCACCCTTCTTATTTTGTATTAACTGTTAATTTTTTTCCGTCTTATTTTAAATAACACGCTGGTTTCAAAAATAAATTTCCTTAAACAAAATGCTTAAAAGATGGATAAAAATGGACATTTATCAACGATTTGTTCTATTCAATATACAACAATATACATATATACTGTCATCTTTTGAAGAAAAAATAGTATTTAAAAACCATGATTTAATATTCTGGTTTATTTATCTATGAATTAAGATCAACCTTTTTTTAATATATGTGGTAAACTTTTTTTGTTAGCTTAATTTACCAGGATATTTTAATAGAAGCTCAAGTGTGACCTTGAAAACACAAACCTTCATATCAAATGAACGATCCTCAGTATGAATGAAAAACAACTTAATTTTCTAATTTTGTTTGCTTTCTTTGATGAGGTTTGTTTATCACGAGGTTGACTTGTAGGTTATATTTCGTACTATATATGAAATGTAAAACAATTAGTCCCTTTGATAAATTTCGATAATGCAGTGAGAAGACGAAGATTATCAGAATTATGTGATATATTTGTGCAATACATTTCGAACAATCTGATCACACAAGTATATGTATGGTCAGATTGTTCGAAATGTATTGCGAATATATATGTAAAGTAAAATAACAACTTTTTTCTTTACTTTTTGATTATCCATAAATTGTAGGGATGTTTTATCAGATGCAACAGTTAGTAATATAATGTTTCTAATATAAGGATATAAATATTGACGATCTGTTGATATGAAACAGGTTTTTATAACTTCACTCGTGTAGAAGATTCTCCTATATCCAAGATCAGTTTCATATGCATTGTATAAAACCAAAATTATTTGATAAATTAGTTACTTTGAATTAATCCATTTATCCTACTATCATCAATTCATAAATATGTTAACCTTTGTAAGTGACATGTACAAGATTTTCTATATTTATTGACCAGAATAAAATATTTAACTTAGAGGTGTAGGATATCTAAATTTAGTTGTCAAGTAATTGAAATAAATTAAAATATGATAAAAAAGAAAATGTAAGTTAATTTTTCTCAATAAATAAATCAATTAAAATAAATACTCACGTTGTTGCGGTACATAAATATTTAATGTTAAACAATCTTCATCTTGATCTCTTAAAAATGGTAATAAACGAATCAATCGATCTTTCACTTGTTTTGGTATATTCTTATCTTCTAGATGAATATGCATTAATGGTTGTGGACATACTGGTGGAAGTATACTATGTGAATAAACACCCATTGGTGATTCATAGAAAAATGATGCAACTGAATGACTGAAACGGTGTAATGCAGGCATTTTCATATTGTCATGATTATTATTATATTTAAAATTATCACTATGATTCATAATAGTAGCCATTCTAGATAATTGGTTATTATTATTATTATTATTATTATGCTGAACACCTAATGATGCATATCTTACACCATAATAAGCAATTACTGGATTTAAACTAGACAATGGTAGATGCAATTTCATACCAGTTAAACGTTTTCCATCAATTAAAGTAATAATATTACGATCATTATTATTAACATTATCATCATTATGATCAATATTGATACCATTATTCATAGTTTCTTGTTTTTTTAATGTAATCTTTTGACTATTACTGTTTTTTTCATTATTAATCAATTTACTATTATTTATTGAAATTGTATTGAATGTGAATTTTATAATTAAATTTTGTATAAGTATAAATAAAATAAATAACATACTCATGTTTATTTGTTGTTGTCGTTGCTGTTGAAATATAGTACTGAATTTATATAATACAAATTAATTATATCCAATTAAACAAAATTTATTAGATTATAAACATTGAAGGGTATCAGTGAAACGAATTCAAGAAAAAAAAATGGTAAACATAATAAGTTTCTAACATTTTAATTAATAATTTATTTGTTCAAATAAAATTAATGAATTCTGATTGGTGAATATGAAAAATCATTATAAAATTTTATAGGGAAACAAAAAACAATTTTTTTTTAAATAGAAAAAAAGACAGTCTATCATAAAGATTAGATTTTAGAATAATTGAAATTTTTCATTGAATTCAATAGATTAAAGTTAACTTTCATTAAGAAATAATGTTACCAAAAGTGAGTTTTATGAATATTATAATGATTTTTATAGTTGAGTTCATAAGACAATTGAAGCTAGACCACCATAGAAAACCTGAAATTACTGGATGATCGTATTTGTCCTACTTTGGGACTCCTCAGCAGTACACATCCACGATCCCGGCTAATGAGATTTGAACCCAGGATCTATCAGTCGTTTTAATCACTAGACCACTGAACTAGCATCTAATGGTGTTAATGTTTAACTTCAACTAATCTGAAGAATTATTGCAAAATTGGAAATACTATTCAATTTGATATTTTTTCTCTAGTTTTTTTAGAATTATTCAGAGGTCTTCTGTTATAATTCTTATAAAAGGTCAAACTTAGGAACGGTAGGCCTCTTGATAGATACGACATTTTTTGACAGAAAAGATTTATAGCTGTAAAAAATTAAGCTTTTAACTCGCCTTTGAAATCTTTATAAATAAAGTAAATTTTGAGAAATAGTTTAAACATGCATTACAAAATAGAGAAAATGATTGTAAAATGAGAAAATTATCTCATATAGATATTTAGATCATAAAAGGTCATTTTTCAACCTGAATCTTTAAATTAAATCATCAGTTTAACTATATTCTATCGTTGGATTTTCCAACGTTATCTTACATTTATTCGATGTACATCATTTTTTAAATATTTCGGTTTTAACTCTGTCAAGGAACATAAAAGACTGTTTCTTTTTGTTTTCATGCATAGGCAGTTACAAGTGTGATTATAGCTGAGTTATGAATAGCTAGAATAACTCATTTGAAAAATTAGTCTCTTATTACGAAATATATCACAAACATATCGTTTAAAACAGTTAATCCCTTTTAAATAATTTTAAAAAATTTAATTTTGTCTTGTTGCTGTAATTTCAAACCACGTACTTAGTTATATGTTAAGCAATCATATATATTTGACCTAATTAAAATAGTCTATCGGAATAAATGTCTTCTTAGATGTAATATATATAAACTTGAACCCTGTATCAAAAATATTAATTTGGCTTAATTCATTATCTAACCTAAATGATTAAACAAGCCGAAACAACTGGTATTCTCAATATCATGTAATTAATAAACAGTTTATGCAATAACCAGTTACTCTTGTTATCCAGTGGTATATTTAATGTAAGACCTAATTCTTAAGCCAGAGTAATTTTAAAAAGGAAATGGCTTGACAACAAGATTGACTATGTATGAGAACGATTTCTTCACTAAGAGTTTTCATTTCTTCCTGGTGACGTAATAAATCGAAATAAATAAAATCTGACACAGTTAAACACATCATAAAAAATAAACTTGATTTTAGTGTTAACGAATATTTTGTATAAAGTTATTAATTTATTTTTTAAATAATTATCCTTTATATTATCCATGTTTAAGTTCAACAGTTTGTATTAAAATTGTTATACATTTGCTTTTAATGTAAATGAATACTACAGTGCTGCTTTATAATCATATCAAACCGACTGTGGATAGATAACCATGTATTATGAAATATATAATTATAATGATACTTATAAAGTCTTAAACAGTTAATGTTGTTTGTCTTTCAATTTATTTAATCTTTATCTTTTGTAATTAATTCGAACGTTAATATTAGTGTCTCGTCAGAGAAAAAATTCTCTGCCTATAGTCTTACTAATGTCCTAAATGTACAATCAATCTACAGGTGAATACTAACACACGAGTCTAATCAATTTCGAAAATATGTCAAAGTATAACTATCAAATATTTTAGATTTTCAGGTTTTGCATAGATAAACGTGATTATCGTTTCTTCATTACTCTGTAAAATAAGATCATTTGAATGATTGGATCAATAAACTCTGAGGATGAGATTACAATAATAACTGGTTTACATTTACTTCGTCATGCTGACTTTGAACCTTAAGTTATATAATAATGATGATTATAAAATTCAGATTCATTATAAATGCAAATACATATTTATTCGGGATTGAACAGTTTACTGGTAACGCCTTAGACTGTAAAATTGAATGTTATTAGTTCGAGTCACACAGGAACTAACAGTTCTCCTGAAGATGGTAAGCACACCATGCTGAAGAGTACAGATGGTCACGAAACACATGTTCAAGGTTTCTTATTGAAAACTTTTAACCACGTAGGCTATCGGCATATGTCGATCCACTTAGACCACTGGCGATATTGTAACATAGTAGATAGAATTCTAGCAGCATCAAAGGACTAGACAAGTATGACAACTGTAAATATTTAACATATTGACAAAATTAGAATTCAACTGAAAAAGACAATATGTCAATATAAAAATCAAACCTTATATTCCAGATAGAAGTGAAAAGAAAGCACGATGGTAGGTGTTTGATAAAGTGTAATTCAAGTTCTGGCCTTCAAATGTCCCTTTGACAATTTATTATTTGGTTATAAAAGTAATAACACCTTACCCGAATACTTGTTTCATTTTTTACTTGGTGCAATCCTTTGTCACAAAATTTACATTGGCTTTCGTTTTTTAGGAGATGAGCAAAGAAAAGGCTTAGTTAGGTGGATGTTGAAAGTCTCTGTCTTAAAATTCACAGTTTGATTTAAAATTTAGAGATATCATTTAGTGTTTAAACCTACAGTTCATTGGTTAGAAGTTCGATACTTCAATTGACCCAGACAAAAATATCTGGTAATCCCTGATTTTCAGTGCTTCCTCAGCTGTCATTAATCTGATACGAAATCTATCCTAAAATTGAGCTAATCTTCTTAAAACACCCAAATCAGACGGGAAGGAAAGTCAAAATTCGATTGATTTACTCTATGATTTTTGTTCAACATTACTTCCGTTTTGATTCAATGTGATGATTATTCGGTGTAGTAGTTATTTTCTCGTATCATATTTTATTCTGTATAACATACGGTATTCTTGTATTCAGTTGACATAAACTATGCTCAGTATTTGATTTGTTATAACTTGTATATGTAATTTTATCCTGATTATTAATCAGAATGGGTGTATAATCAATATATAAATGAGTGTACTTTTGACTAGGGTCGTCGTCGTCGTGTTTTGTGGCTAATAAATTTTCACTTAAACCAGTCTTGTTTTCTTACTTTCTCGACTTGGGAATAGCAGAAGTCCCTCGTTCCGAGTAGAAGTGATAAGTGTTTCCGACACAACAATCAGCGACGACCAGATATAAAAAGTGAGCATTCAATTGACAAGTTATAACAAATACAATTAGTAGATCAAACTACTCATTTGAATTTTACAATTTTGGAAATCGCGTAGCTAACCATACTAATAGCTCTTAGAAGTATTTTTAACATTCATCAGTAATCGGCTTTGAAAAATATTCCACACAATAATCCTTTTGGAAAACGTATTCCGAGTAGATATGTATATCAGTCATGTCAAATGCCACTCAAAATCAGGCTCGACATTTAAAGTACAAACTTTGAAAGTTGAGTACACCAGTATTTCCATTTAAAATATTCTACTTTTTATCAATAAATCTATGTTGGAGGTTTCCTTCAAATTGTTTCGAATAATTCTAGAAATATTCTATCCCTGTACCAAGCAACGAGTTATGTCTATTGATCTAGTTCAAATCTTCAAAATTAACTTATTGATTCTACTTGGTGAATCCAAGGCGTTAGTGATAAAAACTAACAATATTTGTTAATTAAGTTTAAATGCTCCGACATCATTTTTCAAACATTATCAAAAGAAATTAAGGGGATGTGGTGTTTAAATGAACCAATGATTCATTTGTACTTGTTGAATGCTTGATTTCGAATTTCAAATATAGTACATTCGTTAATGCTTGTGTAGTACTTCTTGATTTAATTGCGTTATTTCTGGGATTCTTAGTTCATACTATAATTCAAATACTTCTAATTATCATAGGGGATCATCCAATTTCTCTGATCAGACAGCTATATACCTTAGAATATGTGATTTGCATGTCATGTAAACATCAAACTGAAACCCAGTTACATTTAACAGATGAGTTCAAAGGAGTAATAAACGCGTGTCTTCGATTCTACAGTTAGACACAATTTAAATAAATCAAAACTTATGTTTTACAAGTTTGTATGGTACGCTATCTTGGAATCAGGAAAATAAAAACATATATCAAGCATACGCTAATGTATGAATATTCGTAATGTGATTAGAAGTTTGGTTCTCATTCCAAATTTGGTTGGTAAATACTACCAATGGAATTCATCCAGCAAATAGTATTTAATATATTAATTTATTGATCTCATGTGAATACATTTACTAATACATGGTTTCTCTTAATTACTTAAACTATTCCAGATGAATGAAAATGTTTATATGTACACACAAAAAAAAGATGATCATTACTGAATTTATTAACTTTTATTTAAATACGTTATCAATGATTAATGTAGTTAATTACATGATTATGACCTAAAACCCACACTTTTTTTCTAGAACATTGTTTATACCTAGTCAAGATGGTAAATTCCATTCCTTATAGATTTACAGGAAAGAAAAGTTATTTCTACTCTTTTTTTTTTTTGCTAAATCAAATTTAAACGAATAACTTATTATATTAAAATTGACTGTAAAATTTATTATTATCATTATTAACATTTCGTGTAATGACATTATTATACTGGAGTTTTGTTTATATTTAATTAATTTATATGACCCGGAGTTTCATTGTTTAAACATTCATAATATTCAAGTTTTTATTAAATGAATGATCATTTTGAATTAATAAAATAATAGAACTAATTGATAAGTAGCCTCTTTTGTAATATATTATTGGTAAGTTATATTTTAGTTATTCAATCAAGCGATAATATTATTTCACTACATCATAACATGTTTGTATTTATTTTAATTGAACTTCTTCAAATGACTGTTAATGAATTAATTTCGTGTTCAAATAATAAACATTGTTTCTTACCTATGATTTAAAATATTAGTCTTTTGGTTATTAAAGGAAGTTGAACTAATCATTTGTTAAATGAAAGTGTTTTTCCAGGTTAATTAACATCACGTAATTATCAAAATTGCTGGGAAGCCGTGGACCTAGTTTGTTTTAGTCGACACTCACCGTCAAGAGGTATCTACACTTTTCCTGAAACCTAACTTCATATGTCTGGGTTTGGATCCTACGAGAAATACTGGTTTCATCAAGATTGTGTATGCACCTCATTAATGAAAACTAACAAACACGGAGCTTAAATCTATCATGTAGATTATCTTCTAGAGCCTAGTGCACAGAGATCTTATGTCATTCAACTTAGTAGCCCTACTGCAACCTGATCGATAATATTTGATTATCTGTAGAAGACTATCAACTGATGTGGAGTTATGTTACATTACATGAATGAACAGGTTCATATGGAAACCAAAATGGAGTGGATATGGCTACGCCAATTTTACAGGTAGTAGTAAATTTATTTATGCACGCTTTAGAAACTAATACAATCATAAAATGTGCTTCCATATGAAATTTGGTTACGATATGTTGATATTCTTGTTATAAGATGAGAATAATTTCAAAAATGGACAAGGTAATACTATATAGGGTAGCATAAGACTGCCTAAATAACCTGAATTTGTAAACTGTAAATTAAAATCCCCCGATTGGAGAGACAAAACAACAGTGCAAGCGTTAGCAAGATTACTAGTCATCAAACCCTCTTTCATGGTTGCTAGAAATTTAGTAAACGGTGATAATAAACTTGGTAATGAGACAGAAGACAAACAAACTGGATTACATTTGATCCTATTTACACTTCGGAAAAATAATTATCCTAAGAAATCCCATAAACATATTTAAAAAAATGGAAGATAACTGAATCAGAGCGTTTACTAAAAGGACGAAAAAACCACTGACCATCCCATATTGTCAATAAAATTCGAAATAAATATGATATAAAAGATTATTTTTGAGCTAGTGATAACATTAGATCAGCATTAGTGAAGTAAAGGATAAGGCACTAAAAGAAGAACAATAAAACTGTCTATCAAGTTAAGTGTTATGAGTGTAATTCAGTATATATAGGAGAAACATCTAGGCAGTGAGATGGTGAAGATTTGTAACTCAGGTAGATGATTTTGACCTGTCAACAAGAACCAATCAACATTAAGGTCTACAGGACAAGCTGTGAAACCATATGTTGAGAAATTTGAACACTTCATTTCCACCTGAAGTTCGTGCTGATGATGTTGTTCCGAAGAACGACGAAAGCTCTACGACAAAACCATCCATCTCAGACAACAAAACTCCATCACAATCTAAATAGTTCAATATCAGAGTGGGAGAACACAAATAATGTTTGTACCATGCTCCTACGTCCCCAGAGCTCAAGAAACCTGGTAAAAGTTTAGAAATAGTACTAAACTTAGAAGCAAAATCAAATTTGAACAAACAATAATTCTTTACGACGGTTTGGGTGCTGAATCAGAATAATATCAGTAGGAGACAGAATGTTAAATGTTGCTTAACAAATAGATACATGGAGTTTGATATCCACCTCGTCCATACTAACTGAAGCTTGATCCCGATAAAAACAGACGCTTATTCGGTTATTTTTGAATTTATCCATGATAAACCTCAATTTAACAAAATAGTTAAATATGTGACTGGACCGATTCTACAGATACTTCGGTGAGATTATTTTATTCACACTTACTATTAGTTTTACAATAAACAAAAACGATTAACATATCCTTAGTCATATCTGTTTTCTAATATCAACAGTATGCAGAAGCACATATACACTCAAGTACTTTTCATATCAAATGTTTTTTTTTGAAGTCACTACGCAAAACAAACGTGAACTTGATTGGATAAACTTTTGACTTTGTTTTAAAACTATATACATATCCTTTGATGTTGATTTCGATTATTTTCTTGTAGAAGTTCGAACCTGTTTGCCAAGTGAAAGGTTAGGACTATTTAATTTTCAATGACTGAGGCTATGTCAAATATACTCTTTAAATATGTCTACTATGTCCATGTTTTATAAAATTGTAACTGGTTGTTGTTTTAATAAAATCTCGTAAATAAAATGTTTCATAATGTAAGAGCATTATCTAAGAAATATTGATGAAGTCAAACTTCGTGTAAATATCCATAATGCCTTTAAATAGTGTATGAAATGTTGAATTCCATAAGCCACATTCCAAGATAAAATTATTTGTTCTTACATAAAACTAATCGTGTAGATTTTAAACTTAATATACAAACAAGTGCTACATAGCTTTCATATGAAGACTTTGAACGATTATTTTTGAGTTGGTGTATTTAGTTCAGTCCTTTTACATATAAAGACAATCATGGTTCTATCATATTGCTAATTTCCAAGACTAGATAATAACTATATTCAACAAATTAATATCAGATTTGGAAGGATTACTATTCAAGTGTAATTGCTTTACTTAGAATCGAGTTTTGTAGTAAAATTAAATTCATTAAATAATATTTGCTAATTGTTTATTATGAAACCGTGTCTCCTTTAGCAAAGATCTTTACAAATTCTTTTTAGACTGTATGGTGAGCACATAGAACTCATTTTTATTGATATCTCAAGTACAGATAATTATCGTTTAAGTAAACTTACACACATACACATAAATAAATATGAAGATATTTCATGACCGGAACGGATTAAATCTGGTCAGATTAAATCCTTATATATGCATATATAAGTTTATGTTAATCTTCGTACTTCTTCATATTCTCAAACAAACAACAACAACAACGAAAAACACCAAAATATCAAACTAACTATCCTTTAGGGAATAATGAATTAACAAAATGAGGAGATTAATTATTTCCCTTTCTGTCGTAAATCATTCATAAATATGATAAATTATAGTGTATTGTAATTTTACTGTAATAATTCAGTTATCATTTAACAAATTTTTCGAGTTAAATATTTTTTTTCAAAAAAAAAAAGACACAAATAACAGAAATATTGTTCGTAGCAAGTAGATTATATTGAAGAAAAAAAACAAACTTCAAATCAAGGAATTTTTATTTAACTAAACCTAGGGTTTAAAGTATTAAATTGTACATAAGGTAAATATTAAAATTGTATTAAAAGATTTCCATTTGATTAGTTGACAGATTTTAGTGTCTATTTAAAATTTTCTTTTAGAATAAGCTGGATTTTGGGTAATAAAAAATGGATATGACTAACAATGTTACGTAAACTGTAAATGCGGTTTAATGAACCAATAACAAGTATGATATTATATCCGTAGGGGTGTAGTGTGTGCTACTTATATCGACACAAGTAGTATATGATGTTAGTCGTGAACAGAATGTCTGGCAGCAGAGAGACAAGAGGATCGAATAGTAAAGAATGGAAACAGAATGCAATTTGTATGAAAATGCAAGAACAATGAAGTCTGAGTCATTTTGAGACAAGTCATGGACATTTTGCAAATTAAGCATTTACTATATGGTTCTCAAATTTTATTAAGATGCTCTGTAATTTTATGCTCAGGTACATTTGATTCTCCCCACTGGTGGTTTTGTTCACTACAGCGGTTTTGCGGATATTATAGTAATTGCAATGATTGAGATCATTAGTCAATTGAAGCTAGACCACCGTGGAAAACCTGGACGACCGTTTCGTCCTATTATGGGACACCTAGGTTAGAATCTCGCGAGGTGGGATCGTGAATGCGCACTGTTGAGGAGTCCCACAATAGGACAAAACGGCCGTTCAGTACTTCCAGGTTTTCCAATGTGGTCTAACTTCAACTGATTTATGATCTCAACCATTATAATATTATACTTTAAATTAATCATATTTACTATGATTTGTAGAAATAATAGAAATTGTGATGAATTATTTACATCGATTGGAAAGCATCGTTGTGAATCTCTGGATCTAGATTTATTGTTGATTAACACTCATTAACAAACCGTGTTGGAAACTTTGAAGAAATTGACTTATCTACTAAATATTGTCTGAACCACAGTTATGTGTTGCCAACAAAATATCGAGCGGATCAATAAACTGCATGTTCAGATTCACTAAATACAGACTATACAAATCAATAAACAACTAGCCTTTTTTATCAAACATTTCGCTGTCATTTATACTTGCTTGTTATAAAAATGTAGCAATTAGAACTATCTATCTATTTTTATATACATTTCTATGGGAGAAAGGGTTTAAGTCATTTATCTTCATAATTATTCAATTTGTATTTCTTTCTCATTACAGTAATCATATCAATAGACTGTTTCTACTGCTTTTAACAACGAGCACTAAAAAATGTTTTCTTGTTAGTCTTAATTATAGTAGTTTTGATTGCCATTTAGAACCCAAATCTACGACCTGCTAATTGCTATTTTCGGGGTTGTTCAACCAGGCAAATGTTGACAATATTGTATTACACAACCACAGATCGAAATACAGCTGCATTTTTCATTTATTGAATTATAGTATTTAACACTTGTGTAATTGTTTCTAAAGAGTCAGTCATAGTCAGCAGGTAATCGGGTATGGATATACATTGATCCGATTTGCCACGACACAGCACCGCAGCGACATAAAATCGACAAAAGGGATTTGGAATATTAGTAGTATCGATGATAGCATATTTAGGCACAGAAAATACGGCTGAAAAGGAGGGATGAAATAAGTCGATAGAATCCAAGGAAGTATACTAAAACTCAAGATTTACGAAGACATCTGAGCCAGTAAGAATGATTTGAATCAATTATTATACCAAGTTCCAAATTATTGATCACAATTATCATGCGGATCCAAACAAGTTTTAATGCGGTTGACTTATTAAAAATCATAGACGGACAATTGCTGCTACCTCAATGTTTTCTATAGATCTCTCAATATTGAAGATATGAGATTAGTATGTGTAGAAATAAAAGGATCGTTTTAAAAATAAAACAGTAGGAATTATTGGGAATAAAATCGTTTTATTACCATAATCATTCAATGTACTTATAAACTTAATCACGGCTAAATGCATTTGGAACTGCAGTGCTTTTATGCTTACACAGCTTTCTCCATATTTTATTCCGCGAAACTTTGTCCTCCAACTAGTTAATTTACTCAAATCAGTTAACTTCTAAGTTTTTTATATGTACAGCTGGGTAAAAACTTAAAAAAGGGAAACCAAAAAATTACAAAAGTTTATATACAATTGAACACTATATACATGATGATAAAAGAAAATAATGGATTGAAAAATTCATCACTGAAATGGCATTCAGGATCCCAATTTAGAGTTCATAGCCAAAAACGTTATGGAAGTTTATCGTTAGTAACTGCCAAAATGAATTATGATGTGTCCATGAAACGTCGATTCAAAGACATGACTGTAAAGAAAAGATAAAGAAACCAGAAAAAATTAAGCTTTTAATAAAATGCATGGCATTTCGAATTACAGTAATACAAAAAATAAGCACTGAGACACCCCGACTTACACTATATAGCTCATTCAACGTTCAATGATGCTAAATACAACATCCCATCAGAACTAACTTCAATTTTCAACCCAGCTGCTTGGGGATAATATGAAACTAGTTCGATACTAGTTAATAGATGTTGTTATCCTCTTAGTTTTTGAATCGCGGTTCGCACGATTATCGTAACCGATAGTCTGAAACTATTTGAAATGACGTAGGTTCATCCATTATTTGTCTTCTGCCAAATTTTGAGCTTCTGAATTCCTCACAACATTTTATATGCTTTTATTTCAATAATTTATACTTTCTGAGGTCGTACCTTCGATCTCCAGTCTTTTTAACTACCTGATACTGTTACTAACTCTACTATTCTGTGATTCGGCCTGAGAGTTTTATCTCTGTGCTGATTGGATATGGCAACTTGAACTGATGTACCTACGTACCAGGTTTTACGTGACTGAATAAAATAAAAAAAGATATCTAACTTCTTTAAAAAAACAATAACTGACCATTAAAATTAGTATGTCAACGCGTAGCTGCGATTAGTATAAGTCATAACCAAATGATTATGTGCACACGGCTAAGATGTTCATCATTCCTAGTTCGGTAAACGATCGCTGTATACAGAATTTCAAAGCACTTCCTATGAAAGCCCAGTCTCCCTATTTTGTTTACTGAAGTAGGAAGTTTACAAGTTCACAGGATAACGTACTAAAATATCCGAATTCAACTTTGAATTTGTCGCGAGCGGAACACTTATATGATCGAAAAACAGCTACTGAGAAATTAGTGTAAACATCTCACTAGAATAATTGAGGCCAAGATCATTAAAATTTGGAACAATGAGGTGTATAGAGCTAACTAACGATAATTTCCCAAAGAACCAATATTACCATCAATGTTTTTTTCGTGCATTGACTATGGGAATTATTTCCTTCCTTAAAAAAGTGCTATAAGAGCTAACATTGTTTATGGTGCAGTTTTCAACGGCATATTCTTTATTGTTTTCATGCCATTGAAAGCATAACACTATAAAATGGCTAACTCTCAAAATACCTGTATTACTATGTTCATATCCTAAGCCACAAATACTGTGCATAGAGTATTTTTGATTAAAAACAACTAGTGTATTTTGAGGAAACAAAAAAAAAAATATTACTGTTTTAGAAAGATCTACATATAGAAAATGTTGGTTCATAACAATTTACTGAAATTCTTCAACTAAACTCTCAAAATGTAGATTTTCACCACACTATTGTAAAAACTTTTGATATTATACCAGGTATGAATCAATTAAAGTAGGTCATTAGATAACTTAGAACTTTGCACAAACGCTTAATATCAGGTAAGTTGTTTAAAGCGAACGACAAATGTTGAACAGATGATTCAGTTTAATATTTTAGTAAAGTAAGAAGCAAAAAGATTTGTCAGAAAACTTACCACTGGATACTGTAGGGCCGACGGGAAGTGTTCGTAAGCCAGTGCTGGTATCTACATTAGACAATTGAGCAACATTTTGGACAGTTTGAACACGAATCATAGAAGGTCCCATCCCAGGGGCGGCAATAACATGAACAGATGGTCCCATAGGATTACCAACAGTAATTGGTCTGGTTGAAGGATTAATAGCTCTACATATATTTTTGGTAGAATTCACTGGGTTGGATATATGAAGTGTCATTGAAGAATCGCCAGCGAGTTCAGATGAAGGATTCTATCGAGTCAGAAATGAAAAATAGATGAAACAGGAACGCTTATTAACATATTTTCTTCATTTTGAACACAGCTTTAATGAATCGGTAAATATTTCGCCATACCTAAGAATAAAATAGATTATTCAGTCAGTAAGTCATAAAAAAGAATAAATTACAGTGTCCTGAGTGGGTTTTCCACTTGTGTAAAAATAAATCAAGTTTAATCCTGGTACTGTTTTAAGGTCTCCCTAAAATTTAAGTTATATTTACAGATAATAGTACTTCACCGAAACCTAAGTGGTAAAACCAATACATTGAAGTCACTAATAGAAAAGAGCTTTTCGATCTTCAGGACTTTAATGTCCAAGTGGCATAACTATACAGCCTGATAGTATATCTACACATAGCACAAGAAAGTGGATTGTATTTACACCATTGGTGACATGTACTCTTTGATGGAGTTATAAGAACACCCGAAACATTAGGATTTGAAACAAAAGGATTTAGTGGACCATATTTTAATAATATTACCTTGCACCATGTCATCAGTCAAATTATTGTCACAAAGAAAATCGTTATCTTCCACAGGTCTCTGGAAGGAAGGTCTGAGATATTGCAAACACACCATCTCCGTTACTCATAGCCGCGTAAGTAATTATCACATTCAATAAAGGTGTTACACAATAAGGGGAGTCAAGAGTTTACAATGTTAATCGAGTTACTAAACATTTAAGTTTTAGGGAGTAGCAAACGAAATTCTATTTCACAACACATTCTATGAGCTCATATACACTCTGAAAAAGATGAAAATATACGTTTATAGTATTTATAATACATTAGATAGTTGTTGAAGTTGATTCCGATTGGTGAATATATTAATTTAAGGAGTAACTGACTAGGACTACGACTCCCATATTTAAACCCAGCGATACTTGTCTGCTTCTAATAATATATGGAAAAACTTTCGAACCCATGATGCACTTGGTTGATAATCAAACGAAGTGAACAAACCTTTCTTTGTAGCAAGCTATATGAACAACGAATATATATATATATATATATATATATATATATATATATATATATATATATATATATATATATATATATAAATGTATGATCTTACTGTTTTTGCGTTGTCTGCACATGGTAAAAGTGAATAATTTGGAGCTGTGAGTGTGAAGCGTTCAGCGGGTAAACGAATGCCACAATGAGGACGAACAGTTGGTAGTGGCTGTTCATTTTTCTCAGCATAAGCTAGTAACTGATCTCTATATGGAGGTGCAAACATAAGTCCATCTGTGACTGAATTGATGGCTAGTTGTACGTCATCTTCTTCAATTTTCGGTCGACCGGCATGATGAGAAACAGCCTTTGCCTCTTCAATGACGTCACATGTGTGTCCTACTGTATAAAGGCAAACTTTGAAACAAAACATACTATACAAAACGTCCAAAACTCGTGTACATATTTCATCCGAAACTTCCGAGACGTTAAACTCCGAAAATATCTCTCTAACAGCAGCTAAAGATGGAGGTAATACTTCATTGAAATCTGTAGGATTTTTGTGTTCTGTCATTGATTTCTGTACTCCACACTACACCACGTAAAAATATTTGAAAAACAGAAAAGTTACTAGGATTACTCTACAGTTTGCGTCAATTTGATGTGATTTGTTTAAATAAAATAACCACAAAAATACTTATTTTAGGGAAATCATGGGATGAGATATGGAGCAATTTACAGGAGTTCAAACCCACCTTTATCCCTTTCTGAGTAAAACTTTGAAAGAGCTATACATTAATCTTATTTCTTGAAGAAATATTATGTACTAGTCAATATTATGTAATATCGAACACAACGGATTGCATAATGGTAACATTTAGAGTACTAGTTTGATTGACACTTTTAATTTATAAGAACTATAGTTAGTATCAGGTGGCTATTTTATAACAAATGAAACCTGTGAAAACACTAGTTTTGCTATACCTAATATCGGATGGGAAGTGATATCATCTCAGTATATTTTAAATAAGCCATATTAGCATAAAATGCTATAATCAATATTGTAAAAAGTTCGTAACTCATTTATTTGAACACATAAATGCTGGTATAAGGGAGCATCAAAACACAATAAAAATGAAGTTGTGAAGTGGGAAAAGGAAGGTGAGCATAATAAAAAAAAGAATAAGAACGGATATAAGTTAGTAAGTGTGAGTGAAATAATAATAATAATAATAATAATAATAATAATAATAATAATAGTGGGAGAAACAGTTCAGTTACGAAAAATACAACTAGAAAGAATTTTTTCGTTTAAAACAGTTACTCTCACTTTTATGGAAAAACGTTATATCAGGATCACTGCTGGCTTCTATTCTGAAACATTTCTGATAACGTCTCAAGCCACTGTAATGCACCATCTCTAGGACTCCAACCAGGAAGTCGTGAATGACTAACGGAAGCCAGTTCTGTACAGCTTTCACACTACAACACCACATCATAAACTGACCATATCTCCGCTTTTTTCAACCAGCCCCAGCGTCTGCGAACGATGTACGACGAGGAATTCTCTGAGACCATAATCGTAGGACATGTCCAAACCACCGAAGTTGACGTTCCAAGATTGTGACACCAATTGTATTATCGTCTGTGCCCGAACACACGATGCCGAACCTCTGCATTACTAACATGGTGCTGCCACTGGATGTCAGCAATCCTTCGGAGACAACGACGACCAGATACAGAGAGTCGTCTAACATCTTCAACTCGGAGGCCAGGATTCACAAGCTTAGGGTGAAACTACTCTCACCAACGCACTGTAGATCCGACCTCTCACAGCCTGACTAGCATCACGAAAGCGCTAAAAATGGCCCAGATTGGCATAAGCCGCTCTGGATTTCACTATACGTGGATTGATTTCTGCACTCATGGCACAACCAGGACTTATGCAGCTACTCAGATACACGAACTTCCAGTCAATCGAAGGCGGCCCTGATGTCACCACGACTGTTGACCTGTAATAAGTATGACGGTGTTCTAACATTTGGGGATGATGAAGATATGATCAATACATCCTCAAGTAGAACGAAAACCAGCCTACTCCCCGCGAGTCAATCTCAAGTTTTGGACAGTATGCAAAGTGCGACGGAAGCCGACAATTTGTTCAAAATTAAAAGTCTACTTGGGTGACGTGAACTCTTTTAAAACTAGAGACAACTATAAACTCATTTAACGATCTTGGAACACTCTCTAATCGCCAGACGCTCGTAAACAACTTAACCAGAAAGTTGCCAACATCTTTAAGAAGTGCCAAAGGCAAGTTATGTGGGCCTGTTGATTTGTAGCGCTTTAAGAGTCAGAGTTCCTTTAGAACTTTCTCCTCGTTATGTGGATCGGTCGTCACCGGCCATGGAGAAACAGTCTGATCGATGTTGCCGGGGCGGAAGACCAGTTGAACTGCCCATCGTCCAATACGTCGACAGATGTTAGTGGTTAATATCCCGTCATGTTCACAGATTGTTTTACTCATACCAGACTTGTTACTGCCAGTGACTCGGATGAGTTGAAAGAGCCTTCGATAGTTACCAGATGCAGCTGCCACTTCCAACTCATTGGCACGCTCCGACCACTAGGCTTCTCAGTTCTTAAGCAAGCTTTGTTTAATTCCATTACGTAACAGTCGTCGTTCGTGGTCACCGGGAGTAGACCAACGAGATTCAAATAGTTGTAAGGAGTCTGAAAAAACCCAGTTCTTATAAGCGGGACGTTTCGTAAAGTCGCAAGCACCTACTCGCCATTTTCATAGTGCCATGCAATTGCAACCATTGCACATCTATACTTTTCGGTGGGATGGTAGCTAGCCTTGAACCTAGCTCGGTTTAATATCTAATTTCAATAGAAGCTACAACCAACCTGCTAACATCAATTCGTTTAGGACGACAAATTTATTGGGCGCTGAAACGTAAGATGACATTAGCGCAAATAAGGCTATTATTAGGATCCAGATAAGTACTCCAAAACGAGCGGCAGTCTCATATACAACCACATCAGCGAAAGCTGATCACAATGTGATCAATATGGGTCCAGTCCTGAGATGAAGAGGAAGGACGCCAGGTAGTACATCGGTGATGACTGTGCCGATAGTTAGTGCTAACCAGAAACAGGTTGTTGTCTGCACACTGTTGCAGTAGACGTTCCCTGTTATCTGACCTACGACCAACGAGTCCCGATTAGCCACATAAACAACTCTCCACTGCGCCCAACCCCCCGACCTAAGCGTTCAACCCTCCGGTTAGTACTACAATATCTGTCGAAAGCACTTTTTGTAGGACTCTTAACTGGTAATAGAACTCATCCTTGATCGCATTCCGGCTGCAATCTGTTGGAGCATGGGAGAAGATATTGTTTCTCATGCTGATTTCTCACTTTGGTAGAGCTTTCTAATCTGACAGCACGTAACCGACTGTTTATGGAGATCCAATCGACTAGTGCTGCCTCAGCTCTAGCAAATGGTGCGACACCAATGCCGGCAAAACCAGACGATAAGACAAGGTTTCCAGATAAACGCATGTGAAACAAGTTTTTTGAAGCGGTAGATGAAGAGCGAACATGTAACTATTCATTGTAGTCTTGAATACGGGTCTCGGATAAATAACAGATATCAATGTTAAGACATCCTAGAGACAGTTACACCTGTGTTGTCCGATCTGCCTTAAAGTGTGAACGCTGAAGGAGGTTAGTTTAAATGGTATAGATAGTTTTAGAAAAAGTGGTTCGCAATTTGTATTCGGTGGTAGCCTTGAACTTTCAACCAGTCAGTACCTTGATATCGTTTAGACAGGACAGGTTGTCCACCACAGACAGAAGACAGAAACAACGTGGAACTTCGTACGTACGTAAGTACATCAGTTCGAGTTGCCATAGCACATTAGCACAGAGATTCAGTTATCGATTCAAATCCCGTAGTGGTAGACTAGTGAAAGTATAAGTAGTGACAGGGAACGTTAAGGTTTGATGATGTTATTTAAGGAGTATAATCCAGTGAAATAGATTTGGAAAGGAAATAAAGGACATGGAGAATTCAGAAGATTAGAGTTTGAGAGAACACAAAGAGTGGATGCACCTGCGCCATTGCAAACGATTTTGAGCCATGTCATTCAAGGTCTCTAACCATCGGTTGCTATCATCTCGCGGTCCCCAACCAGGTAGTCTACATCTACCAACATGACTCAGACCACTTGTCAGTGACTTCATGGATTTGTGCCATGTTTTGGTCTGGCCGCCCCTAGCTTTCTTCCAACCCATTCCTACACCATAAAACATCGCACATCGTGGCAGTCGGTGGTCGGGCATGCGCAACACATGTCCCAGCCATCTCAACTGATTAAGTTTCACTACTTCGTCAATTGATTTGCCATCATTACCTAGTACCCGTTTCCTAACAACTGAGTTACTTACTCGGTGGTCACAGGATATACGAGCAATGTTTCGAAGACACCTATGATCAAATACTAGTAACCTACGAATACCCTCTACTCTTACTGGCCATGTTTCACTGCCATAAAGTAGGACGGAACGAATTGCTGTGCAGTAGACCCGTCCTTTGGTTGATAAACGGATATCTCGCCTACGCCACAAATGACGCAAGTTGGCAAAAGCTAGTCGAGCCTTCTGTATCCGTGCTGAGATTTCGTCACACACCAGACCACAAGGGCTGATGAGACTTCCCAGATAAGTGAAGCGGTCGACATGCTCAACTACTTCACTCCCTATCACTAGTTCGGGTGCCGATACAACCCAATCCTGAAGCAACATTTTGCATTTCGAGGGAGAAAATCGCATCCCGAACATGCATGCATTGTTGTTGTCCACCACAGGCAAGTTGTATGAGTTGAAGAACAAAAGAATATACAAAATTGGAATAGAGGAACAGATAAGTGCATCAAAAAGTAAAAACGGATGTTAACAAATAGTTTTGAGTATGATTTGCGAGAGTGAGAATTAAACAGTGAGTTGGTTTTCTAGTTGCAGTCATCATTTAATTTGCGTATGTGCTGGGATACTGCCTGAGTGCACAAGTCAGTCAGTCAGCAACAACGTAGAACTTTGTACGTACGTGCATCAAGTTGCCATACCAGATTAGCACAGAGATACAATTGTCGATTTAAATCCCATAGTGGTAGAGGTGGTAAAAGTACAAGCAGTAGTTGGAAAGATTAAATGCCCAAACTTAGGCAGATGCTTTCCTTAGGGGGATACTCCCCGAGTTCAACCAGAACACAACCAAGAAATACTTTTTTCAGCTAGGAAAGTTCATTTCACGTTTGTAAAGAATGGATATGAAGGCTATAGTGGGTTACGAACCATATTTTAGATTCACGATACATGGGACCGTATTCACGGTATCGAGACGGACCAATAATTTTCAGTTCCGTGGAGCAATCTTCCGTACCGCAGCTTTACGGCGTGACATGATTATTTCTCAGCCTCGAAGTGAGAAAAGAATCCATAGCATGTAAGCCATTGAGATGAAACTCAATAAACACGCCCAAGCCACCGAAGTGTGTTTTAAGATGGTGGAACCAAACAAACAACCATCAATCCGCAAGAGCAAACAGTGTTTGAAGATGACTCTGTTGATCAAACAAGTCTGAATATTAGCCAAATGTTGCTAGGTAACAGATAGACAAAGAAATTATACATTTTCGTTTGTGGTATTTCCAACCCTATTTTATTTCATAGTCAAATATGAAGGTTTTTTGGACTAGATGTCCCGTGTTCTGAGGGTAAATTCTTCATATTTGTCCCGGATATCCTCATAATCCATAAGAAGGTTATGATTTTTCTTTGAGTATAAGTGAGTAGTTGCGTTCGAAAGGACTAAAATATTGATCTACAAATCAAATTTCGAGATACTGAAGCGATAACAAGTGCATTTTTAGGCTAGATAGTGACTACAATGAGCCCGCAAGACTTTTTTCCTTGAATAACTACTGATTTTAAAGTACCTTACAAATTTAGGTGAATTGTGACTAACCATCGAAAAACGTAAGGCAGATCCCTCTTGTTGAGTGGCGTAGGAATAAGTCGGAAGCCCAAGATAAAATCAAAATGTGAAAATTTTCCAGGAATTAACTGACTATTGATCGTCATTTTGCTAGGAGTATACTATTGAGTTGGGAATACTAGGTATGACGGTTTTAGATCGATTACTCAAGCAAACGCATTTATCCGCTATTTTCCTCTAAATCTTCAGTTTCAACACTATTTTATGTCCCATTTCCTCATTTTATTTCTTCCTTGAAATCATATTCTCTATAGCCGGTTTTACTATTATCGATATTATTACTATTTCAAACCGTGTTGATTTTATATCTCTTTATGGATGTGGCGTGACAACTAGGACCAATAAACACATGCTTGACAGCGTAGTAACCGATCGACCGTACATTTCAGTCCCCATGCTTTGTTGTGAAATCCCTGCCATGTGAATCAGGCTCCCACGGTAGACCTCATAAATGTTTGACCATGTAAGTGCCTAAAACTTGGGGACTGTTTTTAGGAGTACGGATACTAGAAGATTCATCTCTGGAAGTTGAATGCCTAAGTATTAGCCTACAACAGCCCCATCTCGCAATACTTTTGAAGCTGTGCCAACCAGGCATAGATCACAAGGTAAGTGCATGCTACTGTCCGAAATTCTATCCTCTCTTTTGAGGAGCAACTGTCTAGGATTATGGCTTTATTTTCTAAAAGAAATATATGAGTGTACATATATTCTTGATTCAGGTATTCACAACAAAGGTTTTTTATACCTTCACTACACACAGAAGTATTTTTAAACTGATTTGTGTACTTTCTAAGTGGATTTCAAACAACTATAGTTAGAAATTCTGCGTGGATATGGAGTAAATTTATAGTAATTTTGTTTACTACGGTTAAAATAACTAATTTTTGCGATGGCTTACATTATGAAAGCAGTTTTTTTATAAGAAACCATCTATTATTGGGAAAACCGTTATGAGACGACGACGAGATTTATTACAATTGGCGACTATATATATGCGATCGAAACGATTTTGGTCTTGCGAAATCACCTTTCACACTGAAACTAGATTCAGATAAATATCGTCTTCACAGGCGGTTTTAAAAACTCACCCAACAAATTACTAAAATCCTTTAATAATTCAGGTTATCTGTATAACATGATCTGATGGATAAACTTATTGAAAGCCGACTAAATGAACATTAAAACTAATTAAGATCATGATAAATTTCCAAACAATGTCATTAAAAATTCAACAACGAGAATCTAGGCTTTTGCAGCATTGGAAGCTTCATTATACAGCCGAGTATTTCAGAACCATAGGAGACATTCATTATATATGTAAATTATATTTGAAGCAATCTCAGCGATTGAAATTTAAAATAATTCCAACGTTTCGTCCAGCCAACTTGTCTGGAGACATTACCTTAACACTAAATTATCTGCCTGACACCTGGCCTTGAATTGATGCATTTCAAGTTGTCACTGATTGTGCGTACAATATCTAAAGTCGCAATTGTGAACTGGTCATGGGTTACTTCTCAAATGGTTCATATAGTTGTGGACGGAATAGAAGAAGCTTTCGCTTAACAGGCTTCCGTGTTTAGTAGCAAGGGATCACCAATACCTTCAGGCAAGAACCTCCTGAAGTGCCTGTATATCCTCTTGGTTGCGTATCTCTCTCTCCAAAGTTTCACGTCATCAGCAAAGAGCAATATGTCTGACGTTACCTGTTGAGGAAGATCATTTATATAAATCAGGAAGATGAGAGGTCCTAGTACTGAGCCCTGACGGACCCCACTAGGACATTCCATAGCCTGTGAGAAATTGAAGTTTACCCTGACCTTAAAATGTCGATTTGTCAGATATGAACTGAGCCAGTCAAATAAAGGTGGTTTGATATCCAATCGTTTGAGCTTGTTAATAAGACAGATGTGGTTAACCCTATCAAAAGCTTTAGAGAAATCAAGGTAAACGATGTCCACCTTCCCCTTGCGATCAACGATGCTCGTCCATCTGTCCACCGCGGTCAGCGGGTTCGTCATACAGGAGTAACCCTTCCTGAAACCATGCTGTTGGGATGAGAAGAAATTTAAGGACAGCAGATAGTCGTGTATACCCTCGTATACCAGGGACTCCATGATCTTTGAAGGTATAGAGAGAAGAGCCACTGGTCGGTAACTTGAAGGTTCGCTGTGTCGACCTCCCTTGAAGATTGGTGTGATATGAGCCAGCTTCCAAATATCCTGTAGTTTTCCCCGACTTAGCGAGTGTGAGAACATCACGCTAAGCGGTGTTGCCAGGATTGAAGCTGCTTCCCTCAATATAGCAGAGTGGACCATATCTGGACCAGGAGAAGTGTCTTTTCTCAGGTGTTGCAGTTTACGGAACACCAAGTCGGCGCTCAGTTTCACTACGGAAAGTCCTGTGCAGTTGCAGATAAAGCCGTCATCAGTATAGTTGATGTGGGTCGGTTGAAATGTCCGGGAGTATTGCTCAGCCAGAAGGTTAGCGGCGTCACCGTCATTATCGGTCGGGCCGTTAGGACCTAGCAGTTGAGAAACTCCAGTTTCGGCTTGACGAAGAGAGGCTGTGTAACGGAATAAGCTTTTCGGATTGAAAATAAATTTATCCATAAGCTTTAACTGGTACTGAAGCCTGATTCCTCTTATAGCCTTTGTGCATATGTTCCTTATATGTTTGTATTGCCTGTACTCGTCGTTGTTGTCGCTTCGTTTGTATTCTGCCCAACAGTGCCTTTTACGGCTTAACAAACGAAGAGTGCGGTTTTTGATGATCGTAGGTTGCATGCGGCTTTTGGAGACCGTTTGAGGGACTGACTGCTTTGTAGCACATAAGAGCGTGTGTAGTAGGAAGTTCCAATGAGCATCCACATCAAGTTGAGTGTGAACAGCCCAATCCACCTGTTGTAGATAGTCCTGTACAGCTGACACATTCAACCGTTTGAAATTCCAACGCCTGTTGTTGTTGGGATATCTTAACTCAGTTTTGCTGACGAAACTGAAGGCTATAACGGCGTGATCGCTTTTCCCCAGGGGAGCCAGAATTGAGAGGTTGTCGACTAGAAATTCTTCATTTGTAAAAACACAGTCCAAGCGCGACGGTGTCTGACTGTTCCTCACACGAGTAGCCAACTTCACGTTTTCGTGTAGTCCCGAATCCTCAATGAGGTTGAAGAACCGAGCTTCAATTGAATTTTCAACTCCAATATACGTATGTTCCGCGAAGTTGACTCTAGGGAGATTGAAGTCCCCTAGAATCAGGATATGAGTGAAGCCGAGACGCGTAGAGTGGGATAGTCCTTCCAGCATGAGACTGTCATACTCGATGTCGGCAGTGGGCTTCCTATATATGACTCCGACTAGGCACCTCGAAGTAGTAGACAATCTCACAGAGAACCATATAGATTCCTCAAGATTGCCAATTTCATGGTTGTGAACTTGGTGTACCTCCAAGCCAGATCGTATGTATAGGGCTACTCCACCTCCGATTCCTGTTTTTCTGTCATTGCGAAACAGAGACATCTCAGGTATTGCTAGCTCCTGGTCGGAAAACTGAGAAGACATCCAAGTTCCAGATGTTCCTATCAAATGAACCTTATTAGCATTGCTAAGTTCACGTAGTTCATCCATTTTATTTGGTAGACTCGCGGCGTTCATGTATAAGCAGTTAATGCTTTCAATTTGAAACAGGTCTTGTTACCAACTAACTCCAAAACTACCGCAGCCAGGTCTTCGAGAACTGCAGCTAGATAGACTGGAGCACCAGCATCAACACGCTCAGCGTAATTACCCTTGCATAGAAGACGATGTACACGACCAACAGGGAAATGAAGACCAGCGCGGGCTGACCTTGTTTTAGCCTTGCTACGAACTTTTCCACCCTTACTGCGTCCACTCGTTATTTTAAGAAGTAGAGAAACGTGTACCTCAAGATAACGAAACTAAAAAATTATTTTCATCAGCATTATCGAACAGGCCACCAAATATGATCATATACAAAATTTTGTTTCGATCTTTATATACTGAAGAAAAAACAAGCTTCGGTTTCAGTTTGAGAAGTGCAGGAGGTTGAGTAGCTCTCATCAGTTATAGCTGTTGGCGTCTATGAGTCGATTAACAAACTTCCTTATTTAGTAGCAGTAGATAACCGACCCGCCTAAGTATGAACCTAGAGATACATGACGGTGAAAAAAGAAGTATTTGCAAATTATAGCAAAGTACTACTCTGAATTGCTAAGACTATGTCAAGTTTTCACGTGAAGAAGAGTTGCTTGAACCATTCCATCTGGCAGCGAATTCCAGAAGTTGACTACTTATAAAAAGTAGGACGTGAGCCTACAGTTCATTCCACCATATTGTGTCTTCGATTTCTGGGTGCTAAGCCTGTGGCTTCTGTTGTAACTGAGCTTGTATGATTAGTTGAAACAGACTTATTCTGAAAGTAGTTTTTGCTGCTACTCGCATTTTTCATTGTTTCTCATAATTTGTACAATTACCACTAATGTCTGTTAAAATGTTATTTACAAAAAACATGACATTTGACATTCGGATTCTTTTTTTGAACAACACTGAATGACATATAGATTACCGCCCACAAAATACACTGCTGAACACGTATGCTTCCGGTACTCTACTAACTGTTGTTATGATAACAGAAATCCAGTATATTTGCTATCTTTTCTTACAGATCACAGTGATATCCCTATTACCTGTTTAATCTGAATACACATCTAGGATTATATCCACTCATAATTGTGGATTACAAGATCAAAAGGAACTAGAACACATCTGTTTCTGAAAATTCAAGTAACGCCCAACATATTTTTCCTGTGTATATATTTATTGAATTAAAAGTAAGTTCATTGCTATCTGCTCAACTTTGAAGTAGATTCAGATCCTGAAATGCCAGCAAGAGGAATAGGTTTTGACTAGACAGCTTCCCGGCATACAGAGGATTTGAGTCCTTCACGACAAACCACCGATTTTCGAACATAAATAAGTTGTGAAAATTCCCATTTGGACATTTGATAAATACAGAAGGAACGAATTGAGCGAAGAAATTTCTTTTCAATTAGTTTTTCATCATGGCTCTACACTAATATATATATGATTTACAATAATGATATAATACTCATTGAGTGGATAAGTTACGTAATAATTACATAATGACATTTAAATTAACATCTAGTATTTTGGGAGGAAGATGATTAATATTCAAAGTAATTATTAAGTTAAGAAGTTGCTAAGTTGCATAATATATGAAAAGAGAAGGAACAGAATTTGTAATGGTTGGTCAATAGAATAGCAGTTACGTAAGAATTAAGAGATGACTGTTGAGAAATTATAAAGTTTAAAAGAAAAGGAAAAAAAACCAAAATTAAAAACTACAAACCAAGTGCTATAAGTATGGAAAATAGTTCAGTTAAATGGAATGTTATACAGATGGCCAAGGCAGCGAAAGTGGTTGGACAAATTTCTTCTGAATGCAAAGGTCAGGTTTATGAGCATGGATTGCGATGGCTTCCGCAATGTGTAAAAGGCGCACTCGTAAACTATGTGGTAAATTTGATGGGATATGGTAGATAACCTTAAAAGCTTTATTCAATTCAACTTGGTGACCTGTGTCAACCAAATGAGCGAGGATAGAACTTTTAATCACTTTTACCTGTCCTTTATTTAGCCACGATGGATGATGTTCTAAGAGGATTACACAGAAAGTCGGCAACAGGACAATACACCCATTTCTACAGTGCAGTGCCAATTAGATACAAAAGGAACTTGATAAAGATCTTGACCCATAGGGCCAGAAGGATTTGTTCGGAAGACACCATTGAAGAAGAATTAGCTAAGATTCGGAACATACTCAGTACGAATGGGTACCCTTTGAAATTCATTGACAAACACATGATGGAGAAGAAACCAAAAGCGAAGATACCCACGGTCCCGAAGAAAGTACTATTCATAAAATTACAATACATAAATGATACTACTGAAGAGATCGTGACCCAGAAACTAAGAAGAGCTGTACAAAAAACATTTAATGCAGCCAAACTGAATACTATCTTCTATAACTACCCCAAAAAAAGAACGACTAGCAAAGACAGACTGCCTGAATTCGCCAAATCTATGTGTATCTACCAGTTCAACTGCTCCTGTGGAGCCAGTTATATAGCGGTTCTAGCACTTGGTTTGTAGTTTTTAATTTTGGTTTTTTTTCCTTTTCTTTTAAACTTTATAATTTCTCAACAGTCATCTCTTAATTCTTACGTAACTGCTATTCTATTGACCAACCATTACAAATTCTGTTCCTTCTCTTTTCATATATTATGCAACTTAGCAACTTCTTAACTTAATAATTACTTTGAATATTAATCATCTTCCTCCCAAAATACTAGATGTTAATTTAAATGTCATTATGTAA